TAAAAGTATTAATACTGAGTTACATACATATTGCGCATCCCTTTACATCCATCAACATCCTTAAAGGCTAGTTTTCATAATAACATCTGTGAACTCTATACTACGCATATTGCCCTTCCACATAACTATCCCCTGGGATTCTCCCAAATTTTTTTATTTTTTTTTATATAGTTTCATAGTAGGGAGCTGTGAATTCCTGAATCATGTACAAAGGTTTAAACCGTGTCTAAGCGTAGACTCCCCAACGAATTTGACAGGTCTGCTTTCAAGTACCATTTAGTATAGCGGAAAGGTTGTACCAGGTGTGTTACTTCTAAGGGTGATAGTGATTTGGTTATGAAATATTTCCATCTACGGAAAAAGGATGACGTCTGCTTATCTTTATGCATTTCAGCGTCTAACCTCTCTTTGGCTAACAATTGTTTCAAGTCCCTAACGAGTTCCTGAACCTCAGGGGTCAAGGGGTCATTCCAGTGTCTCATTAAGCATCGCCTAGCCACCAGCAGGCATATGTGTAGCCAATCCAAGCCTTTACAGTTATGTTGACCCAGTGGTCCGGTGGACTGCTCAAAGTACCCAAATAAACATAGTGCATGGTCCAGTGCAGGTTTCCAGGAAATGATAGTGCTCGCATAAGTCAAAGTTTGGTTCCAAAAGTCATACACCAGCGGACATGCCCAAAAACAGTGATGCAAGGTTGGGCGTGCCGCTCCACATTTTGGGCATACCGAAAGCGTATGATGGGGGGTTATTGATGACTGTGCGGGCATGAAAAAGGGTACATAGGCCCTGTGTAGAATATTGAACTGGGTCTCCCTCCAAATTTCGTTTGTCACTAGTGATCTTACTTTTACTTTTAGAAGTTTAGTGAAGAGATCCCGGTCACCGAAATCTTTTTGCCATCCTCTCATAGCTGACTGCGGGAGGAGCTGACCTTTTTAAGCTGCAGGGTTCAAACTGTAATTCCTATTCTAGCCTTATTCTTTGCGGTTACCAACCCAGAACAAGCATGTGTATGTCATGTGTTTTGACACCTGGTATGCATATGTTTGTTGTAGATCAGTGAAGGCAAAGCTGTGGATAACAGCCTTGAAGCTTGTACCTTCAAAAACCAAGCGGTTGAGACTGGAATGTCTACAATGCACATTGGCACAGAATTTGGTGGGCAGAAAACCAGAGGATGAGCACAAGGCATTTTGAAGCAGTGGAGTGGCCTCATGTTCTATTGCTGTGTCTATATGCACAAAGTAGGTTAAAGGAAGGTAGGTTAATCCCTCCCCTAGGTAGGTAGGTTAAAGGAAGTTGGAAACTTAAATTTCAATTTTTAATTGAATACCTAAGCACTGAATGGAGCAATGAGGTCAGCCTTAAGATCAAGAGTTAAGGAGAACTACGAGGTGAGTGGTTTACACTCAACCTCATAGTTAGAGCAGACGTGTGACAGTTTCAATGTCACACGTCGGCTCTATTGATCAGGAAGTGAGCGAACACATACCTCGCTCACTTCCCGATCATGTCCCTGCAGAGAGCAGTGACGGTTAGTCACCGCTCCCCACAGGGATCCCCCCTTCCCCTCTTCTATCCTCCAGCGCTGACTGGAGGAACGGACAGGGAGGCGGCGGGCACAGCTGACTCTGCCTTTAGATAGGCAGAGCCCACTGTCATTCAGCCAATGGGGTGGATCTCGACAGTGTTGTTGGGATCCATCCCAGCTGCAGCGCACTCAGTATACAGCGAGCAATAGCTCACTATATACTGAGCTTTGGGTCACGGGAGGAGGTTAGTATACGTCTTCCCGTGACCCTAAAGAGAACTATGGGATAAAAAGATTACCTCATAGTTCTCTTTTAAGTAATGTTAGACTCTTATTGATCTAGAAATGTAGGGCTTCTGACTTGTAGCAATTGGGGATCCCTGGTTCGAATCCCAGCCAGTTCACTATCTGCAAGGAGGTTGCATGTTCTCCCTGTGCAATAGGGGGTTTCCTCTGGGTACTCCGGTTTCCTCCCACACTCCAAGGACAGGCTGGGAGGTTAATTGGCTCCTGTCTAAATTGCCCATGTATGCATGTGAGATAAGGGACCTTCGAGTGTAAGCTCCTTGATTGCAGGGACTGATGTGAATATGCACTGTGTGAATTGTCGGCGCTATATAAATACCGATAATAATAATAATAATAGAAAGTTAAGCTTGTTCATACATCCAAATATACCTATGTGCATATAATCTATCTATGGAATTGTGAATGTTTTATTTTCCTCATACATTCTTTTGCCAGAGAACTACGAGTCCTGCATTCAGTGAGGAGCGAGATGGGAATATTACGGAATTGGTACGACAGAATGAATTAAAGGTGGGTTTATAAATTGTATTCTATCTAACCCTGTACTTGTATGACACATGACACATGGAAAGGATTTGTCAAGTAATATTTGTAAAGTTGTAAATGTTTTTGAAACTATTTATTTTTGCTTGTTGATGTGCTTTACGTATCCAGAAGATGGCAGTGTGCTCTTTAATACCTCACTGTACCTAATGAAATTAATTCCTTCCCTTTGTTATGTAACTGGCAGGCATTTTTTTCTCACTATTTTCAAGTTGAGTTTTTTAGGGAAGCTTTGATTTTAAAGTTTAGGTCAGCCCTGTCTTATTTCACAGATCTGCTGATTTTGTCTTGTTTTAAGGGCTTGTTCACACCATGTCTTTTGACCTGCATTTTGTTTGCACACCCCTGCCCATACATGATGTGTTCAGGGCACACGGAAAGCAATTGCTTTCAATGTGCTCTGTTCGCACCATACATGTGCTGGTGGTATGCAGAAAAATGCAGCTTAACAGACTTGGGAGTTGATTTACTGAAGGCAAATAGACTGTTCGCTTTGCAAGGGAATTTACACTTTGCAGGGGACATTTCCCTTAGCTTAGTGAATGAGGTGAAGCTCTGCTGACTTCCATCACCCAATCATCTGCAAGCAAAAATACAGTTTTTTTTATTTTTTTTATTTTCCTTGCACATAATTGGGTATTCTTTGTAAAGTGAAATATCACCACATTTGCCAAGCTAAGGAAAACTTGCCCTGCAATGTGCAAATTCCCTTGCAAAGTGAATGGCCTATTTGCCTTTAGTAAATCAACCCCCATGGCGTAAAAAGATCCTTATCTAAAAATTACAAAACCGCATTGTGCCTAAGTTTGTGTTACTGCAGGTGAACATTTTGTGCTTTTATATTGCTGTAATGCCCGGCATCCTTCACAAATAAATAAGAAATGTGGAATATCCGGACTTATTTAAATATTGTCAGTGTTGTAAGCTCATTATATAGGTATACCTGGAACTCCGCACTCTAAAATAGACAAATTACTACAAAGTGCTAGGACATGTGATCAAGTGGATTAGGCTTGATCACTTATACGAATGTAGACAAAGCAAGCTTCCATAAAGACAATACCGTGTACCTGCCTAAATATCCCTATAATGGCATTTAAGTCATCTCATCCTGCAAAACAGTATTGTGTCTTTCATGTCATTCTTTCCGGTTCTTCTACAGCAGACTCCAGGATTTACATACTTAACAGAACCTTGATGACAATGACACCATTAGTTCGATACTGTTAGGCTGTTTCATACTGAATGCAGGAGGCCATTCTGGTCCTGCGTGTTATCTGTGCATGCATGCCCCAACATCAGACATTTCTCGGGTCGGAGGATGGAACTGTACCGAAAAAATTAAACTTTAGTCTCAAATGCAAACCCATTCGGTACTCTGTATTTTCCAGAGTGACTTTCTTAACAGCCATTTAGCATCATATACCCTTTTTATGGCAAATCGTATATGCAAAAAAAGTAGATCAGGTGAAATTACTGCAACCCGTTAACTTAATTCGCAGATATTGATAGCATTTTTATTTCGAAACACTTGATCTATTGTAGGTTTTCTTGATTTTACTGTTATGTGTTTACAGATTGAGCAGCTCACCAAAGACTGGACAGACAAGTGGACTGATAAAGCAGCCCTTATGGAGCAATATAATGTGGACATCGACCATGGGAAAGCTAGAGTGACCATTGATTCTGGTTTACCTCATCTCATTGCTATGGATGATGATATCCTTAGCACCGGGGTGGTGATTTATCATCTAAAGGTAAATGTGTATTCCAATGCATACACCTTTTTCTTAACTATATATGAACAAATCTGATGAAACCTCTGCCCCCTTCCCATGTGTTGCCCAGTGTGGATTACACATGTTTAGCCCCTGACACTTATTGAATTATTGGAAATGTTACTAAGCTGGTAAATGACAGTGTTCAACAGAGTAAACAAACATCTTTTGGAATGTCTAAATTGTCTTTTAAGCTGTTAAATAAAATCTAAGTGTGCTTATTTACAACAAAGATCTGGGGTATTTTTATTATAATCGCACAGTGGACTGTTAGGTTATATTGTACTGGGAAATTTTGCAGACCCTTTCAGGTGGTCAGATCACCTGAATTTTGCAGACCCTTTCAGGTGGTCAGATCACCTGAATTTTGCAGACCCTTTCAGGTGGTCAGATCTGGTGGTCAGACCGAACTCACACACACACACACACACACACACACACACACACACACACATACCTGAATTGCGGGGTTCATCTCCAGGCTGCTGCTGTTTTTTTAATTCACCAAGGCTGTGATGGCTCCGCCCACATAACTGCATCTTTTGGCAGGATCTGTGAATGGAGAATTTCCAAGTCCCATCAGCCACTGCAGCAAAGGGACTTGTAGTTCTCCATGGAATACAAGTACGGTGACATTCATTCTTTCCTCATCTGTGTTACTAAATGTCCGTACCGAGGTACAGCCATTGATGGGAGGAAGAGTGCGCAGGTACAATGCTTTACTGGTTCTAGTCCAAAAAAATAAAAATAAATGCAATTTTTTTTTCTTTTATGAAGAAGTGAGCACTTATTATTTTTTCTCAAAGTGGACTTTGCCTTTAAAGCACTCACATACTGGAGGTCTCTGATATGGAGTAGCTTGCATTTATGTAAAGACAGTCATACATTCTTGTATAGCCAATTAAGCCCGAGGAAGCATGTTTTTTTTATTTTTTTGTGAAAGTAACCTGAAGTACCTAGAGCCACCCTAGGAGAGCATACAAACTCCATGCAGATAATGTATTGGTTAGTATTAAGCCCAGGACCCCAACACTGCAGGACTACAATCGATAACATCTGGATGTGTGTGCTGGTTACAATCAAGGTTATAATAATAGTGACAGCATCAGTAAATTATATAGCCAAGTCTTTGTAAATGCCAAGTTCATTGGGTATATGTGGCTTGATATAAATCCAAAAACTGTTTTTCGAGATAATTGCATTTTCTATAAATATGTATGAGACACTTTATTGGATTCAAAGGAAAAATGACAACTTAAACAAGCAATTGGCTTGTTAATACTGAATTTAGTCCATTCGTCTTTTACCATTTAGATTTCCTCCATGTCACAATTCAGGCTCTTCATATTAAGAACAATGAGCCCTGTATATCTGGGGACTCGTCCTGAACCCCCTGTCACAGGCTGTCACAGGATTTGTTGTTAAAGCTAGGAAGCAGGAAAATATTTTATACAGCATACTAACCTCTTTCTCCCTCCATTTCTCTCTCTTTCTCCGTTCCTGCTCTCCCCGGCTCATAGATGAGGCTTTTCTTGTCATTTCTGCTTAGCATTCATTAGACTCTGCTGTCTTGCTATTCCTGAGAAGGTAAAATGGATTGCCTTGTGTTCCACATTGTGTGTGTTTAGACAAAGGCTTTGCACTTCTAGTTGTGCTGTGCTCACCGAGGTGTCTGTGTTTGAGGTGCAAATCTGTCCTCTATTCTGTCCATTTAATTCATTGACTGCTTCAATTTTTTTTATTCTGTGTTTGTCTAGGAGGGAACAACGAACATTGGGAAGGGCGATCACGATATTGGTAAGAAACACACTGTTTATGCATGACCCATTTCCAGACAGTTCAGTATTTTAGCTGCTTTAATTGCCAGTGTTATGCAGATTTAAAGGGATCGTGTGGCAAAATATGTTGACTCCATTTAAATGATAACAATAGCTAGTATTTACTGGTCCTGATTTTAGTGTGGCTGGTTGCAGAGCTGTAGAATTGTATGTACTATTTTCTTTTTATTTAGAATGTATGCCAGCAATCGCAGCCTAACGAATAACGTGTTATGATCATTGCTTGGTTGCTGCAGCATTACATCAATAAACCAAAACTGTAGATGTGATTAATCTTGTAATTGTATTCTAGGATGCTGTGTAATTGTGTCCATTTATTCAGTCTAGATTACATGCCAGTTGGAGATTTATAGTACAATAGTCCCATACCTTGAAGGGGTGCTTACTACATTGTAGAGGTGGGGTAGCCTAAATGTTTTTTCTAGACATTTCAAAGGGAACATCTAGAAATGTTGATTGGAACCAAGCAGTACCCTGAAAAATCTGCCTTTTGTCTTGAGTTCATAGCATTTTCTGGCAGTGACTAGACACTCCTGTGCCTTTAGACTCATAGCTGTATCTATGTAGTGGGAGATCTAAGTTACTATTGCTCTGACTGCTGGTCTCAGGAGATTTGGAGTGAGATTTTGTGATGTCACTTCTGTGCTGCTCACTGTTCTCCTTACTGGAGGATCTGATGTGAGGATGCAAAATCCCTGCCTCTGCCATGATGGCTGCCTCCACACAGAGACATGGGGTAGAACAAGGCATGGTAAGCCAGTAAAAATCTGGGGAGGGAGAATACAGGCAACACTGGCAGCTCCTGATGTAGAGCAGCTTGAACTCCAAGCATCAAGGAAATGGTGAGAAGCCTTTAATTGGGATGCAGAAATGTTGGTGATGTAGAGCCCTGCCCCTTCCCCTGCTAAACCACAGCTCTATGCACATCCTGGTGGCTGGTGCAGAAAGCTTCAGTGCATGTAGTGAAGAATTATTAATTGTTGTACCTGCCCAGAAGAGGGCAAAGACAGTCTCCATCACACATTTCAAATTTTCATTGTTCACAAATGAATGTTGCATGTCATCCAATAAAAAGTTGGTGAACCTAAACCTGTTTGTTTAATATTTTCTTTTCTTTGGGGGACTATAGGCCTGTGGTGGTCTTAAACAGACAAAAAAATGAATGGCTGCTTATGTTGGTGACCGATATACATAAATGTGCTGACCTTGCTTTTTGGCTGTTAGTGTTGCAGGCTGAATGCACTGAGCAGGATCACTGTGTAATCGAGAACAATTTTGGAGTTGTGGAACTGCGGCCAGTCTCAGGAGCTCTATGCACAGTCAATGGGCAAGAAGTCACGGATGTCTGTCGCCTCTCCCAAGGTTGGCACTTTGTTTTCACCTCATCTTCCCTTTACTCTCTTTTCTCTAATTTCTGCCTCCAGGAATTAAGAGAAACTCTTAGTTCTGGCTATGGGGAGCATGTGACTCACTCTCCATCATCTCTCATTACAGAGCTGCTGCTTGACCATTCAGGCACCTAGCGCTGTTACATGGGAGAAAGAGAGTCCTCAGCCCTGTGTAAGCTCCTCCTAGGGTTGACTTTCAGCTTGCACAGGGCTTATTCTCTTGGCTTCTGGCAGGGAGTATGCAGGAGAATGCAAAATTTAGGTCAACTTGTTGCTTTTGCCATGCATGTTAACTTTAGGGGTGCATTTACACTGGAAACCGAGCCACAAACGAGTCAATAGAGGTACAGTGACTTGAGTTTGCATAGTCCTTTGACATCTGTTGCGTTACTTTGCACTAGATATTTACACTAAGCTATATAAGGTATTGGTTCTGCCTTCTATTGACATGAGTTAGCAGTTTACACCAGTCCGTTGTGTTGCTTTCCTCTGAAAAAAAGTAGATTCTGCTCTTTTCTTTTTTGCAGCGGAGGGCAGTGCAACGCAATGGACTGGTGTGAATTGATCCCACTCACACCTATTCATGTTCAGATGTTCTTGCGTTGGCATCCCTTGAAAAACAGATGCTAATGGATCTGGTGTGAATGGAGCTTAAGGCTGAAAATATGCCTCAAGTCAGTGCAGTTATGTTCTGGTAGGCTAAGTTTTCATAGATAGCATTTTCAGCATCTTATCAGATTGTTCAGCAATACACTAACTGCTTACTTCAGTCCTCCATGAGTAGTTCACCTTATGTAAATGTTATTTTCACCACTACAGTCAGCAACTTCAGCTACAGCAACACCTAAAGTCACATGCAGAGAAATACTACAATAGGGCTACCCATTTTCATTGCACTCACTGAGAACCCATGACAGTCATAAGTTTCCCACCTAACCCAGGTGATAGTCCCTCTGTGAGCTATTTTTTTTATAGATAGTATGTATTGTCAAGCTGCAAAAGTAGTTTTAATTTTTTGCAATCTGGGAGAAGTTTATTATTTATATTGGCAATTTGAACTCTCACTTGCAAACACATATCGAATGGCCATGACAGGTCATAGGCTTATTAATGGACAGCAGCGCCTAAATAGTAACCATGAGAGCATTAAAGAAATGACCAGTGTCAGTCACTTCTGCATTTGGTATTTATCTACTAATAATGTCCTGATGTCATTAACTAGAACAGACATGGGCCATACGTCATTGACTGCTTTTTCACTTAGGTTTAATATATTTACATTATGTAATGTAATCATTTTAACTAGTGACTTAAAATTCACGTCATGTAAAATTCATGTTACTCTTAAGGATACTGGTCAATATTTATGAACACAGGTCCTTTGGGAGGTAGCAGTTTTAGGTTGACATTTCCATGTACACCAAATGGTTGCTTGTGTTGGTAAGTTTCACAAAAACAAATCCTGCAGAGAATGTATTTCTCCAATTCTGATCATTTATTGCTTAGAATGTTAAAATCGTCATTCGTGTTTGTTAAATCTTTAGTGAGTTTTGTACAAAGAATCTCCCTATAAATGGCCACCATGCGATTACATAAACAACATCATCATTGCAAGAGTAGAGTAGCTAAGTTTCCTGACATCCATTACTCTGTTTCTAAATATTTAAAATCTGAAATAATAATTACTGTCATGGTAGTAACTTAGATATGTGTGTGTGTGTGTGTGTGTATATAGTATTGGTATTTGGGTGAGTACTCTTACTCGCCCAAATGCTCCCATACTTGCCTCTGAAACCGGAACTTCCGGTCAGAGGGAGATCTCCCTTTGACCGGCAGTGCCATGGGAGCATGTAGCCAGCTTCCTTTCCAATCAGTAAACTGGCGGTGGGTTATGACCTGCTTCCTGGTTGGCTAGGTAGCCGGCTTCACATGTTGCTAAGCAGCCTGGCTTCCTAACCAATCAAAATTAGGAAGCTGTGCGGCACGTCATGACTCGTGTCCCTGGCTTCCTGATTGTCCATGCTGCCTAGAAACAAGTGAAGCCGGCTTCCTAGCCAATCAGGAAGCCGGACGGCACCTCATGACTCGCCTCTCGAGTTCCTGATCGGTTAGGCAGCCTCTGAAGCTTGTGTTCTTTAGCTAGAACATCGGCTCCACAGGAAATCAGGAAGCTGGGCGACAGGTCATGATCCGCTGCCCGACTTTCTGATAATCAGGGCACAGTGCGAGTACTAAAAAAAAAAATATCGGTGCTCGATACCGAAAAACCGGTATTGATGCATCCCTACTGTGTATATGTTGTAAAAAAACAAAACAGAGTATTGCAGTATGCAATGATACCTTTCTTTATATTTATATTTTTATATTTTATTAGATGTATTTCCTATTTCTACTTACTATGTAATTTCCCCCGACAATTAGTCAGAATACAGTAATCAAAGCAGTAATTTGTAAAGACATTTTCTATTAATCTCAGCTTACTGTGCACTCTAGGAATTACTAGCGACCTCCTTGCTGCCAAGCATAACAGCTAATGCCAGAGAAGTAGGAAGGAGAATGCATTCAAACAGAAAGCTAATTAGTAAATGTTAAAGGGACAGTGCCATCAAAATTGTGTGCTGCCTACAGGGATCTTTAAATATTGGTTTATAGCTGCATGCATTGTCATTGTTCCATGCTTTAGTAGTTGTGCACATGTCTGTTTACTCTCACAATGTGGATTACTCCAGGTACCGGACTTTTGGTGTCTTTTTTATCATAGGGTGTATTTGAATTACAGAATTACATACAGTCACAGTATGCATTTCCCTATACACACTTCCTGGCACAGTTACACTATATGCTTATTTTGTTTTTGTTATATGCGGTGATCAAATGCTGATTTCATGTGAAAAGCCACCACAAATCTTATGGTACATACTTTGTTACTTGTGTTAAGTATATACTGTGCATATACCAAAGATCTGTAGAAAGTGGCATATGCATGTTCATAGAAAAAAAGCAGAATTATTAAACCCACTAAAAAAGTAAAGTGTGGACATGAGAATTAACATTATATATGGTTTCTGTTGCACTTTTGTCCTTCTCAGTTTATATATGTTTCAGGAAAATAAAACTTGTGTAAAAAGATCTGTAAACCTAATGCACTAGTGTTAACTGAACAACTAAAAGTAAGAGCTTGCGTTTTCTTTAGTGCATTGAAGTTTGATATGTCTGTTTTATGTTTGTTGTAACAAACCCCTTGACTTCAATAAAACTTTAATAGAAACCAAAATTCTAACCATAATTACTGTTATAGTAAAAAGCTCAATGTCAATGTCCATTGATTTTAAAATCTATTATGCAAGCGTCAGACTTTTAGAAGGCCCTTTTGTCACTCCCCAATGCAATGCAATCTGCAATGGATATTATATAGTCTCACAATAGGCTGTAGGAACCTTTATAGAATCACAGTAACACAGCAGAGAGGTTTTATGCAGGACACAGAAATTCAAATTATAAGACACATAACATGACTCTATGATTTTCTAATCGGGGAATTTGCTCTTAGAAGGAAATAATATGTATTGTACAATGTGTTGTTATTTTTTTAATATGAAGTCATAGTACATAATGCATTATGCCCTTTTTCTCTTTAGGAGCTGTAATTGTTTTAGGGAAGTCTCATAGATTTCGATTTAACCACCCAGCAGAGGCCGCTGTCCTGAGGCAAATGAGATCTGTAAGTTTAAGAATGACTGGAAAATTATAAAATATGTAACTGTATGCATAATCTCTTTATATGGTGTTCTGCCTCCATTTTTGATCATGGCACTAAATTCAATTTTTAGATTTTTTAAAGAACAAAATGCATTAAGCTTTTTGTACTAACATATAAAAAAATATACACAAAATGGCATAGGACTACCTGATCCCCACGCAGTGCAATTCCACCATATAGGCAAGCAGTCAGTGAAGACACATTAAAAAAGACAACTGCAAACCAAGTGAATGGGGCCCAATAATGGTAGCAATAGGGATGACATATTATCTTAATAGAGAAACAGGTGTTCCCATACCTACATATAAAGAAAAAGACAGGATGTAGAGAAAGGACATGTAGGGAAGATGGAGAAGGAAAGGTGTGCCTGGTCGAAGCTCATCAAAAACCAAAAAGCTGCCCAAGTAGTGATGATATACAGGTCTTAGAAATACATTTTTCAAATTTACGTGCATTTAGTGACATCATCCAGTGTAACAAAATAAACCCAGAAATGTTGTATTGTACTAATTATAAAATGTGATAACATCACCCTACACTATGACCTATAATCATTCCTCCACTGCAGATTTGTAAATGAAAGGCAGATACTGATTAGTTGGTATTTTAGCTCTTCTTTGAGACCCATTAGTAATGTAGTAATGCTCTTTAGACACAATTACATGAGACACTTTTTACAAGAATTCTACTCATTTTAATGTTACTTTAAATACTGGTTCTTTCCTTTTGTAGGACAGCCAGGCATCCTTTGTGGGTGACTCTTCCCTGGACTGGCTGGACCTGTCTGGAGATTATTCTTCCGAAGAGAATTCTCTCATCTTCAACACCAGGTATGTTTTGTGCCATCTAGAATTACATTACCTGCATATTTTGCTTAGGAATTGTTACCAGTGTTTTTCCCATACCATACCTTATCATCATAAAAACTACTCTGAGCAGAAGCTATAGAGTTGTTAGACATATTCAGTGATATAATATGGTACACTCAGTTCATGAACCATAATGGACATACTGTGCCAAATATTGTGCATTGTCATCATAGCAGCTTGTCATTTCCATAAATTGCTTGTTTTGTAGAGAATATAGAATATACCCGTGACATATTTTAGAAAGTGCTTTGTTGTGAGGAAGGCAGCAATTATTTCCTTCTTTTTCATTTGTATTTGTAACATTGTGATGTTATAGAGCATGAAAAAAAGTTTTCTGGGAAAATATATTGATGTGGGTTGAATGACCTTAGCTGTCAATTCAGTAATACCTCATTCAACCTGGAAGACTGTCAGCATCTAGTGGCAAAAAAGGTATTACTGAATTGACAGCTGCAGTCTGAAGTTGAGTATTGAAGCAAATAAAAGAAAAAGATTATACATAACATTTAAATCTCTTGAGAAAGACAGAGTAATCACACTAAACTAATCTACAAAGCTCCCAGGTGTACTACACCCCATCGCTTTTATGTTCCATGTGTATCCGCTCCTCTCCGCATTGCTTTAAGTGGTGTGGAGAGAGAGCAGACTTCTTTTACTCCTTTTGGTCCTGCTCACTTATTCGTGCCTTCGGGTCGGCAGTTACTGAATTTTTGGATTGGATTAATCTAGGCCTTCCCAATGTGTGCAATCCTTCGTTTTGTCTCCTTGGTTTGCTGAGTGAGCTTCCGTTGGATTCTGGGGCTCAACGTCTTCTACGTATCCTCCTTTTTTATGCCTTTATTCTTTTGGTGTGGAACAGCCCACAGGCTCCTTTCTTGAGTTGTTGGAAATGCATTATAAATCTGTCTCTTCCCCTCTATAGGATAACCTACGAGCAGAGAGCTAGGCCCCAGCTATTTGAACGTATTTGGGGTCCCTGGTTATCTTCTACCAACACAACGGTTGATTTAACATGATCTTCATTCACTTTCTGGCCGCTACTTTTTATGTTTTGCATGCATAATGGTAAATGTACAAGAATCATTGATTCTGCTTATTTTCCTTTGTGGTGAGACAACTCTTATCGGTGTTGCTGTTGTTTGTAACTTACCTGATTCTTGCTTGTTATGTTATGTTGTGTTTTTGGTTTTTTTTAAAAACAAAGTTCATTAAAGTTTTTCACAATAACACAAAGATGAAGCTCTGTTATCCAATAGTTATAAGTACAAAAGTAAGATACATAAGATAATGATACTCTATAAGACCTCTATGAACATTGAAACATTGGCATATATCAATCAAAACTAGTCACAACTCCAGGTAATATAAAAAGAAATATAAAAAAAAAAAATCCACCTCTAGCACCCCCAAGGTATTCGACAACTTAACCTTCAGATACCATTCTGTATGTAGAAACAGTTTTACAATTTAAATCGTGTTATTTTAATTTATATTGTTATTTTAAAAATCAATAAAAAATACCTTTTAAAAAATCTACAAAGCTCTACATTTAATGCTATAAGCAAACCCTGGAAGATCAAGCTTGTTAAAATGTGAAAGTCACATCACAATTTACTGCACTATGCTGCAATAATAACTCAACATATGTGCTCACTAAAAATAGAGTTTAGTTTCCCTTTAAATGGCAAGGCTTCAATTAGCTAGCATGTCACAGTGATAACATTATACAGTATATGTGTATGTTGGCCTTCTAGCTGCTGTGGGATCTGTGACAAAGACAACATTTCTAATGTGTTTTCTCTACCTGTCTTTATCACAAGCTAATGATATAAGTGTCAGGACTCCCTTGCAATAAGTAGATGATTCCCAGAATCCTGTCAGTTCATTCCCTCGTTCTCGATGCTGAGCTACTATAGTAACAGAAAGCTGCATTATGCTGTAGAGTCGACTGCTTCCAGCCAAACCCCTGCACCAGCCTGGGCGGGCCTCGGCATTGGAGTGTGTGTCCTGGCTGAGAGCATGTTTGGATGAAGACATTTCCTCCGTATAAATCACTGTGGGATTTTTCTTGCAAAGCAGAGTAGCAAATGGAATTACACTCTGATTTCTTCTTTTTTTTTCCTGCAAAACTGGAGCTTGCCTAATACAGAGAAAGGTAAGATCATTGTATCTCTTGCTTTATTAAATAAATGCAGCAGCATCACCTTACAAAGGCTGTTCTCTAAGTTTACTATCTAATCATTTAATTTGGTGTTTTTTAATATGGAGCAGATCAGAGAGATTAAATTCTGTTTTCTGATATGTTAGCTTTTGTAATGTTTTGCGTTGGCACAAAAAATTTAAATATATTTGACAAGTATAAATTCAGAAACAATAAACAGTGTTTATTGTTTAATACATTTCTCAGGCCTCTTTATAGTTCACTGCCTCTGTCCTTCGTTTTGTAACCTCAAGATGTGCTTATGCATGGGGCACAAGTTCTTGTTTTGTCTGTATGCCTTTGCTTGTGCTCAGAGCAGACTCATGTAAACTATTATTAATGCCAACTTCGGGCGAAAGCAAGTAGGATCTGCTATACATTTGTGGCTGAACTAATTGGTATTTTAAAAGCTAAAATTGATTGTTTGTCTTATCCTTTTCATTTATCAGCCATAAACACAAACTGGTCCTTTCATTTTGTTCAATTATACTTCTAGTCGAAAACATTGTTGCTATAGTTTTCTTAATTACGAATCTTTATAGATCTGTAAATTAAACTGAAATAACATGTTCTTTGTACCCATCCTGTCAGTGTTCTCTTTTTGTGCCAGCTCCTACCACTGACATATGATATGAGAAGGAGCAGATAAAAAAAAGTAGATGATGCATTAAACAGCAGAAGAGGAATAAGGATGACAGCATCCCAGCATGCACCTTCAAAAACAAATCAGCAGTGTGAATTCATTTATTTCTATTTTGACAGGTTCCTTTTAAATCGGCATTGAGTTTAGGAGTCTTGGGTTAGGTGCTAGAGGAGTGTCAGATTGGGTGGAATAGAGGACTGGGGGTGACTTCACTAAACTGCTTTGGCTGATACGACTCAGGCTACCCTGCAGCACTTAATACAAGTTATAGCTTTCCAAAATCCTTTTTACTATGATCTCCTGATACCATTTGTTGACGACTTTCCCTCAGGTACTTGCCGATACCAATTACCGATACTTTTCTTAAAGGGACATGTGAAATTTTTTCTAAAACAATACAGACTAATGATTTTAGGGCAGTTTCTTTATAATTATGAAGAACTGTAACTCAACCCATGATTATACAGCAATGGAGAATGGCAACCGCTATAGAGGGCTACAAATCCAATGATTATTCAGCAATGGAGAATGGCAGCCAGCAATCATGGATTGCTGAGATTTGGAGACCTCTATCCATGATTATACAGGGCTGTCTGCGGTCTCACCAGGGCTGCGTGCGGGTCTCACCAGGGCTGTACAGGTGGCTGCCGGATTCTCCAGGGTTCTGCATGCGGCTGCTGGGCACTACAGGGCTGAAAGGGTGGGATCTGGGCTTGTGCCGGGCTCCAGGGCTTTACTGTTGGGTGTGGAGCTGTCCTGTGCTGTGCTGGCGCCAGGAAGGAGGAGGAAGCAATGTGCGGCCGGACCAGCACCATCAAAGACAGCTGCCTGAGGTTCCCAGCAAGAGTGGGAACTCAGACAGCCGAACTTGCTTAAAAATGTAAAGGGCCGGTATTGGCCTTTTAGTATTGGGACATTTTTACGAGTACAAGTACTCGTGAAAATGCCCTGTATTGGGCCTGATACCAATACTAGTATCGGTATCGGGACATTCCTACTTTTTACTAACATTTAATAATTGTATTTAAATTAGCTTGCATGTTTGAAAAGTGAAATTACCCTTCAAATGTATGGGGTAAAATATAACACCAGTCAGTTTTTTTGTTTTGCTCACAAATGTAACTGCATGCATGCTGAATTAGTTTTTCAAATTTGTGATATTAATCCATAATATTGTCTAGGAGAAACAGGTATAGATGAAATGGACCGTCATATATGCATGCCTAGATCAGCTGAATGCTTGCTGCCAGACTATAGTACCTTCTGCTGTAGAGGTTGTGTTGTCCAGTCCACAATGATGGCCTTTATTGTTTAGCTACAAGTACACTGTAATGTTGTGTTAGGTTATTGCATACCTGAATTATGTATTTGGCACTGACGGATTCCACGTAGGGCCATTGAGGTTTGTTTGGTTTATATTGATGTTTAGGATCGGATTACTTTCATCATCGTTATCTGTACTAAATAAATTATCAATTAACTGTTAATCCTCTTTGCCAGGAATGTCATTGTTATAAACTAATGCAGGGAAAAGTGCAGTGGATCTACATTCTGGCCCTTTTCTGTTATCAGAAACAGTTGTTGACTCAGCATAATGCGCTCATTTGTTCACAATGTCCACAATTTGCTGCTTCGCAGTAACTAGAGACATTACTGTATGCTGCATAAAAAAGGGACAGGGTTCCTGGAATAGGAATAGAGTGTGGCAATGGTTCAAGCATTAAAAAACAGATAGCAAATCATGGGGATCAGGAATATAAACTGACCTCCATATACACAATAGTTGCACTTGTTACTATTGTTAATAGTATTCAGGATTTATATACTGCTAACAGTTCTTTACAAAATAAAAGGAGACAGTACAGTTACTAATTAAACCCTTTCCCTGCCACCAACGTATGGCACACGGCGGAACACAACTGTTTCCAGCTGGCCACGTCAGTATGCCATAGGTTGGAGCCTTTTACCGTGCTGCTATAAGTCCATGGTCGCTTTAGCAACCATGAACTTATATCAGAAATGTTTCCTTGACGGTCCACTTTAAATTAATAGCTGTCATCTGCAACTGCCGACAGCTATAAACAAAAATTCTGGGCACCCCCTTGCTTGCATCTGTAGCCTCTCCTCCCTGCCTGGAGCCTCTCCAGGCTGGGATCTGTTTCTCCTCGGATCCCTGCGGAGGAGGCAGCTGCAAGTTCAGGATGACTGAGCCGTAAGGAGATCAGAGTCGCCGGCTGTCACATCCTGGATCGCTGGCGGCTCTGTGATCGTGTGTGCCGAGTGGGTTGGATGGCTGAGCGGGAGGATCGGTAAATATGTGCAATATTTACCAATCCTCTGTGCAGAGCAAACACTGGAATGCTCATCTGACCTCTGCAATGTTTGTAAATAACTGGGGACACAGTACTTTTTGCATTCCTTCATTTTTTTTTAGCATTTCGCAAAAAGGCGCAATTTAAAATTTACAAAGATTTGTTATTTATTAACTTAATATACAATTTTAGATTTAGTCGGAAAAGTATTTGTTTTTTGTGCACTGATACTGATTTTAGTGCGCTTTATCAATTGAATTGTGTATTTTTATCGGTTTAATATGAATTTGAGAAACATTTGCACAATTATCGCAGGGCCTACAAATTTAGTAGCACCATCTTTTTATTCTACTGGGCCTGTGCTTTCAGAAAATATATGGTTTGGGGGATTACAAACGGTAGCAACGCAGCAATACTGGATGGCTTGGTAGCGAAAGGGTTAATTCAATCCAGGAGGGTTTGGAGGGTCCTGCTTGTGGGAGTTTAAAATCGAAAAGGGAAGGGCAAGTAATACAAGGGGTGATGACTGTGAGGGATGAGTTGATGGAAAAAGTAAAAGTTCAGATTTTAGGTGAAGGCGGAATATACTTCCCTAAAGAAATGAGTTTTCATGGGTGTCCTAAAAGTGGACAGAGAAGGAGATAGTTGGGCAGATTGCTGTAGGGATTTTCAGTGGAAAGAAAAAGCTGTGAAGGAATCCAGTATTTTGGATTTCATGTGTTGAACGAGTGAAGGCCAGTGGAGGGATTGGCAGAGAGGGGTGGTGGCCACTGAAGGTTGGTAAGGTGAGAAAATCTGTCAGCAGTATTCATGATAGACTGAAGTGGGGAAAACCTGTGCACAGGTAAGCCAAAGATGAGGGAATAGTAATAGTTGAGGCGACAGATAACAAGGGAGTGAATCAGCATCTTTGTGGTCTCGTTTGTTACTGTTCCTATAGGCTGGAGGGGATAGCTAGCTTAGTGGTAACTGCATTCCTCAGTAATGATCAAAGTGAGTAATCTCCGTTCCAGATTTTTGGGAGGTCTTATTGAAGGTGGAAACAGGAAAGGTAAAATGTAAGGTATATCTAAAGCTATTTTGTTTTTAAATGTACATAGAATAGGGAAGCATTAAAGCCCATGTCAGTTTTTTGGTGTTTTTTTTTGTCATCTGTGTCCTTCACACTCCTTCATATATTCCCCCTCCCCACTTCATCAGGGCTTGTTGGTAAGGCCACTTTAGGAATGTCTGGAGCTAAAAGGACTAAAGTTATTTTAGATATATTATCAAATGTTGGTCCCACAGGTAATGCAACATGCAGCTACATCATAATAATATGGCAGAGGTTTCATCCTCTCATCACTCTTTAGAAAACTAAGGGAACAATGTTTGCCTTAGATACACAAATGTATTAGTAATAAGCATATTTATGGACCTGAGTAATGTACACCATATTAGGCCTAACAAAATATTTAATTAACTTGTGTATGGGCACAGCATTCCTAACTCTGAGATCCATGCTGTGTTTATAACAGTGATTAAATATTTTTTTTTAAAACTCTATTCAAAGGTGGAATTGACCTTTTAAGTTGAGGGATGATCTCCAGAACTGTTCATTTCTCACTACAAGTATTAGCTCTGCATTTATTGATTTTTACAAACAGAGCTATGCAGCAGCAAGGAAGTTCTTAATACCTCTCTTTTGTTTATCAACAGTTCAGAGATAGTGTCTGAGGATTGTCAGCAACGAATAAAAGATCTGGAATCTTCTTGTCAGCAACAAGTGGAAGAGCAGCAGAGATATGTGGAAGATTTGAAAAGGCAGATCCGGGTTGCACAGGTGAAGGGAGAGAATGAACTGGAACAGGAACAGACGCTGATCAATCAGCAAATAGAAGAAAGTAAGAACATAAGCAATGTATTTCATCTATAAACACCAGAGACACCATTACAACTAGCTCCTCCTAAAATGTTTCTTATGCCCCACATCTTGAATTACAATGCATGGCTGTCTCATATTGATCTTCAATCATCTGCATTGAAAACTAATTTATCAGTATCAGATCACTAAGGGGGCTATTAGTATTAAAATCAAACTTCAATTGCACTGCCCTGGCATGCAAATACCCACATATTTTAATCACATTGATTGAAAAGGGGGGTAGTCATGTTGGCTTGGCTGATTTATTCAAAATTTGGCGATGCTTATTGAAGATGAACCTTTCGTAGATTCTCAGATTAGGATACGAATAGTTAGGTCAAAGCTCATGGGCAATAAATCACCTCTTTCCAACTAAAGGATAACATATTACCTTGGGCCATTTGCAAAAAAAATATTTATACATTTTTAGGCAGTTCCTTAAAGGATAAGGATAGTTTTCCGAAAGTTTCCTCACTCTTTTTGCAACCCCCCGACACCAAGCTCATCTAAACCCATTCTCTACCTTAGCTGCATATCTACCTAGTTCTTGCACAAGTCCAGGCGCATCCCGCCACACTTTTTACCTCCGGCCAGCCAGACCTTTCATCTCGCTGTCTGAACATGCGCTGTATGACTCTTTAGACTTCTATGGGACTATCTCCCCAACCTTTATTGGAGTCTATGGGGTTCTACAGTGACTAGGCTGAACTTGGTGCAAGGATTGGGCAGCTATGCATCTGAATCTGTCTTTCTGTTTCTAAACTAACAGTCTGTTTGATTTTTAGACAATGAGACCTGATTTTGATTGTTTGTAAATGTTTATAAGATATACTATATCAGGATGTGTTTTCTATTTGATTGCAGACCAGCAGTGGCTTCTGAAAGAGACGCAGCGGCTGACAGCAGTCTGTCAACAAAGAAAGGAATCTGCAGTACAAACCGAGTTCAAAACATATGCAGAGGTTGAAATACAGAACTGTGTACAAACTGAAATCCAGCCATCCCCAGAGGAGCTGAACAGAAAGCAGCTGTTGCAGCTGGAACTTCTGCGCAAATGCTCACTTCGGAGGGCTGAGCGAAATATCAGGAGGAAAAGAGTGAAATTTCAGCTAGACAGGATTGTAAAAAAGCAAAAACTCTTAGAAGCAAAGAAAACCCTTCAGCAGCTGGAGGCTGCATGCTGGATTAATGAAGATGCACTGAAGCCAACTTATCTACACATACCTAAACTTAAAGAACCTGTAGTACGTTCCACATCACCAGATAGAACTAGAACTTCTTCTTCTATATTTTCATACTATAGGAGGCGTTCTTTACCTTGGACTTTGCAGACACTTCCTACATACAGGTAAGAACTGGCCACATATCATGTATCCTATGAGCTCATTACCAGCTATGGGTAGAAATCTAGTTTAGGAAACAGACTTTCTTATATATATTTGGGAGCTTTGACAGCTATGCTTGGCAATCTGGTTAAGGTATTTTAAGTTTTCATGCATTTGGGAGATGTTCTCTTAGATGACTAGATCAAGTAGTGTGTAAGCATTAGCTAAAAGCTTGATGTGCAAAAAATTCCTACATCTTCTCAGCATAGCGGTAATGGCGAATCAGGTTCATGGGAGTACAAGTTATTTTCAGGATACAGTGGTACCTCGGTTCACGAACGCTTCTGTTCACGAACAATTCGGTTCGTGAACAGGAAGTTTGGCAAAATGTTGCTTCCGCTCGCAAACTCCGCGTCAGGTGACGAACACAACTACAGCCATATTCGCGCGGTCTGATCACAGTTTGATTTTGGTTCGTGGAACAAATTAAGTTCGTCAACTGAGGTACCACTGTAATTTGTTGTTGGGCATCCTACTTTTGATTGAAGTTTGAACAGCCGTAGGGGTAGAGTTCTCAATGTGACTGGTTTAATTACAGAACATTTCTAGAAAGATGTCATTAACATATACGATTACAGAGTGTATTTTAAAGTGTATTTCCACTTTTGTAGTAAAATTTGAGAAAACCCCTCTGTATGTTTGTTATGTGATCCTATTTATGCAGCATAAAGAAAAAAAAGAAAAAACAATTAGGCGAATTTATCAAAACTGGAGCAGACAAAATCTGGAGCAGCTGTGCATGGCAACCAATCAGCTTCTTTCTTTCATTTTCAAATCTTAACTGAACAAACTGAAAAGAGAAGCTGATTGGTTGCCCTGGTCAACTGCTTCAGATTTTGTCTGCTCCAGTTTTGATAAATTCCCCCCCAATATCTCTTATCTTTTAAGGTGTTTTGTTAAAGCAGGCAAGATGGCCGATTCCAGGATTTTCTCCAAACCCTTACTGTGACCTGTCCTAATGGAAAGGCTTAGGTCTAAAATTTGAGGATTGTGTTTCTCTCATTCACTTACTTTTACATAGAATGGACAAACCACCTCAGACCCCTCACAGCCTCTCCTAACATTCCAAAGAATGATACATTTGTAGAAATGTTAACCCTTAAAACCCCAACTCAAGCAAAAGCAATTTAAACTGCAAGAAGCATTTTTAAAATATTGTTATTAGCTAATGCTATGTGAATAGGAACATGTGGCAAAAATAAAATAGGTTTTATCCCAATTTGGCTGCAAAAGTGGAAATATACTTTAAGTTAAGGAAGAAATCCAGGGTTTTTTTTTCGAATTAATCCTTGCAGTGGGCTACCACTGCAGGTCAAAGGTTAAATGCTCGTTTTGGCCTGGGGCAAAAATAAAGGAGATCTAATCACCTGATCCTCTGTCCTGCAGCAGTGATCACTGGCCTCTCTTCCCCTCCGCTCCCGCTGTATGCTCACACCTAATGGACCTGCATTAGACCTGATGCCGTCATGAGTCCTTAGACCGCTGGAGCCCGGGGGAGAAGAGACTGCAGGGACTGGTCTAACAGCAGCCATCTTTATTTTTGTCCCTAGACCAAAGCGAGCAGTAGGGATATGTTGTGTCCTGTTTTCAATGTTAGTAACCAAGTAAAACTGCCATTTATTCCTTTTTTCCTTTAGTGCCCTCTTAAAAAGAAAATGTAAAAGTGAGCTGTTACAAAAATCCAAGACCCGTGAAAACAAAAAGCCTCTACGAGCTTTGTCAATAGATTGTCTTAAAACCTCACCCACTTGTGGCAGCTGTGATGAAGTTGACAATGAATCATCCATTTTAGAAGTTGGAACTACACAAGCAGAAAACAGAACCATCAACCTACTCATAAGTCACAGGAATTCCGGTGTTACCTTTTTTCCAAGTGATCCACAAATGAGCAAAAAACGGCAAAAAATGGATAAAGCTGGTGGGAGATCAAGAGGACTTTACGGCTGCCCTACTGAGCCACCAAAGAAGAGAAATGCAAGGGCTGCTATAAATACAGGAACCAAGGACACAAAATTAAAAGAAACCAAAAAACAGTCACAACCCACTGCTGGAATACCTAGAAAGAACACAGTGTTGGAGAAGATCAAACCAACAGCAAAGAGCGAGTGCGTCAAATCTCCACCAGAAAAATATGCCAAGAATATTCAGAGATCACCTGGCCCAGGAAAGATTGCTCCTAGAGATGCATTTACAGTGAAGGGAGCAAGAGGAAACATGACAACATCAATGCCAAATACTAAAACAAAACCAGTTAATGTGGCTAATAAAATATCATCTTCTGTTGACAACATATCCAAGCTTAACAACCATCCTGAAGATCGCCATGTAACTGATAGGAGGTGGATGAGCACAGATAGACTCAATAAGGGACTTTTGAGATCTAGTATACAAAGACTAGAACACGGGAAAGAGGATGAAAGCAGTGACTCTTCTGATGGTGAAAGCTTCTATTCTGTAGATTCTCTGTCTTCTGCATATGCTAATGCCTTAAATGAACAACTAAAGCAGGAAGAAAGAGAGAAACAGAAATTCGGCAGGAGGGATTCAGACAGTGAGGACAGCCAAATGTCACAGGACTCCTTGGTGGAAAGAGAAAACAAAAAAGATAGACCCAATAAACGAAAATATAACAGATACAAGACAATTGTGACTCATTCTGGCTCTCCTAATAGTTTAACAGAATATCACAACTCATTTCCTTTAGTCACAACTGGGTCCGTGACCACTGGATTCTCCAAAAGTTTTTCTCTGGACAGTTTGGCTGATGCTGATGAAGTACCAGATGTGGATTCATCTGAGGAACGTCCAGCAGAGATCTTCTGGAAGCTTCAGAGTCCTAGGTGTGTAAATATGAATGATGATGACCAGAAGAATGTAGACATTACAACTACTGGAGAAAATACAGCTCTACAAAGAAGTGCCTCATTTTACCTTAAGATGAATGAGGGTGCTACCATGGGATACAGAGATACCTCCACACCTTTGAATGTTCCTGATGTAAAATCCCAGCAAATTGACCCTAGTCCACCTGTTCTTAATGGTGAACATACTTTGCTTTTATCACCAAGTGAAAAGTGTACTGTAGAACCTGTTGTAAATGATCTACATCAAGACGTTACTGGTGCTGACGGTTGGGCTGCTAAAACAGATTCAGACTTCACACAAGATGAAGGGAAGGAAGTATCTACTAAAAATAATGTTATTAAAAGCAGACCTAGGGCATGTCCTGATATAAAAGAAGAATTGAATGCACAGTACTGTGTGGGTACAGAACCACTTCACGAAAATCTAAATATGTGTAACCTTGAGGGAGATCATCCAAATACTAGTTATAGCAAAGTAAAATGTTTAGAAAACAAAAAGCCTGTTTATGAATGTAATAATATTGACAATGATTGTTCTAGTAAACATTTAGGTGAATTCAGTACATCAAAGGATCATCCTAATTTTCCCGATGTATCACACAATTTCATGGAAGGTGAGAAAAATAAACAGAAATCTGTTCCAGACATGGAGAAAAAAGATGTAGCTTTGGAGCTAATTGGTTATGACAAAGAGAATGCAAATAAAATGCTACAACCATTGCCGGACCCATCTACAGATGAAAAAAGCAACAAAGATACCACAGTTTCTGTGAAGACTTCTGTTAATAGGGATCCTAAAATGTCTATAGAAACACACAGCCAATATATAAAAGATACCCATAAGGAGTCTGTTGAACCAAATGAAGTGAATATTAAAGTGAGCAGTGAACAAACAAATATTACAGAAGAGCTGACAGTGTGTGATAAAAACCTTTCTACATCACTGAATAATTTAAATATAAAGCCTATAAGCACAGTATTGTTAGAAAATGCAAACCAGGATATGAGGCAAAATACCTGCGTACAATTTACCACTAATGAGATGGTGTCTGACATTTCTCGTTTGAATGAAAATGAAGAATGTAAACCTAGAGAGATGGTTGTTTTACAAGAGAATGGTGAAATGCATGACCATGCTGATGTCACTATGGAAAGCTTTGATCAAAATGTTATACAAGTAGGGTCAACATATGTGCAGACTGACTACCTGAATAACCAAACAGCCGTTCTCAGTGATACCTGTTCAGAATATAACAAGTCTGGACTTTTACTTCACAATAACTTAGAGATTGAAAAAATCCAGAAAAACATAGCTGGGTTTACAAATGAACTACAAACAGACCAACAAATTCATACTGTCATTGCAACCACCAATTTAGCATCACAGGTGACATCATACACTGCAACAATAGATCTAAATGGGAACAGAGACTGCAAGCTAGAAACACAACAAAGTTTATGTGAGAAGGACACTGTCTGTGAAAATAAAACCGCTGACCCCCTTCATAGAGTTAACAATGGACTTGGCAGAATTGCAGCTGATAAAATTGCTGATGTTAGCACTCCAGTTATAATGCCCAACCAACCACTGTCAGCTGCCAAAAACATAAGCCACACAATGTCTATTCAGCAGAGTGACGCAATAAATGTAACACCGCTTGCAATATATAATAACCTTCTCCAACATGTTAAAAACCTTGGTGAAGATGATTCTCCAGCCTCTAGAACTGAGGACGGATCTGTTGATGGCCGTAAGGACTCAGAAAGTAATGTTTTTAGTGGCTCACCTTGCTTACTCTCCTGTACATCACCAGAGGCCAATATGGAAGTCACCAGAAGTTCCCCAGTAATAAATATCACTGATCTTCCTCCTATTGAGCACACACTACCAAGGTCAAGTACAGCACCGAACATAAATATTCCTGAGTACAACAGCCTTAAACTTAAGGAAAGCAGAGTAAATGAATGTTGTAGCAAACATCCTTGTAATACCCCATTGAATCATCCAGAAACCTTTCAGTTGACTGCTCTTTCCAACAAGACTTGTACATTTCAACATCAAATTCTTGATATAAATAGTAATGAACAAGGTGAATTGTGGAGTTCTTGTGAAGATATTGCAGGACCACTATCCAGTCTCCATAATTCTTCTGGTGAGGTGCTAATTCAAGAGAAAGAGATTTTACTAGAAGAGAGAATGCAGGATTTACAGTCTTTATCTGCAGAGTCTCAACCAGGGCATGGGTTGGAAACAAATCCTCTACAATATGCTGGTCATCCCCTTGATTGTGAAAATGACACACACTGTTGTAAACCACATTCTGGACAGTTTAAAGGAATATGTCCTTCAGGACAAGCAGTCCACACAGACATAAAGATGCCACAATCATTTAATGGTACTAAAAATGACAATCAAGACATCTCCTCAGGGATCTTATCAACAGGCATAGATGTACTGTTGTGTAAAAAAAGTAATGGTGAAGGTACTAAAAATTCATTGAATGTCATTGCTGGTCAGAAGCTTCAGTCCCCTAAACTAATAAGAATGACATTTATGGCATCTGAAACTAAAGGTTCATTTCCAGTTGATAAACAGATAAAGAAAATCAATGAAAATGACGAGAAAGCTTTCAGTGATACAGATGATGGCAAACTAGGTGCTTTAGAGGGAAAACCTGAAGATCCACCCCCAGCTAATAAACATGGGATGATAAAGCATGACATATTTGAAAAAGAAACAGACCAAGATTATGGCAAAGATGCTTCAAAGGATACAAATGACAATCATGTGACAGCCACTCAGGATTTCACTACTTCTGGGAGAGGTTTTCAGAATCAAATTGGTTACACTGTTACTAAAAATGATGAGGAATCTAATTCTGCTGACACTAGTAATGCTATAAACAACATGCAAGAAAACCAACCCTGTGTTGATCAACCCTTAACACCAGATTTTGGAAGTACATACCCAATCCTTCCATATTATGACACTGTAATGCAAAGTGAGCATGTTTCTGAACAGAAATATAATAAGACTGAACTTGAAAGCACACATTATAAAAATGCAGACATTTTACCTAACAATTCTGAACCAAAACAATCTCACTTTGGCTTGAAAAAAATGGTAGAAGATGGTGTCAAGGGTGAAAATCATCAATCAAGTTCTTCCAGGATTCGGAAGTGTAGAGAAGGAAAAATGTTTTTTAAACCCAAAAATGGGGAATCAGAACTTGGTATACCACATGAAAAAGAAAACGGTGCCACCAAGAATGAAAGTACAGAAAAAGGTTCTGCAGTATTCATTGTAAATAATCCGGTAATACCCAAACTATTTAATGATTTTAACTCCGCTGTTCATTCATTTGCAGACGTGGACGGCAACATTTCTTTTGGCAGTACTACTGATAGACACAGAAATCTTCATGGAAGATTTGAGGAGGAAAGTGAACCAATACATAACAAAGGAAGGGAAAGTTACCAAACAAAAGACCAAAATTTCAGTGCCAAAGCCCAAGAGGAAAACTTGCTTGTGCAGGAGACACTGGACAAACTTCCAAGTAAAAATAAGATCATGCAAATAATTGAAAGCCCTCTGGCAAAGGATAAACTAGAAGAGAAAACTGCAGTTATCTTCTCACAAGATCATCAAAACGCTACTTGCAAATCTGAATCTATTTACCCTGTTTTAGCTAATTCTTCTAATGCCTGCACTTTGCCAACTGCTGCATCACCTGTTAACTCTTCTCAGTGTATGGAAGAACCAAATGAAGCACAAAATGATATCGAGAATGACACCAATAAATGTCAGTATCCGATTGCTCAAATCCAAGAAGCGAACAAACAGACTGAAATGTCTTTAAGTTGTCAGCCATCCAGTTTCAGACCCTGTCAAGAAACTGAGCCAACAGAAAAAGCAAATGTCGACTATGGCTCGGGTCATATATCTGAAGCATCCATTTGTACCACTTATGAATTTGAACATAATCTTAAATCCAAATTAAGTTTGCTAATGGACAAAGGCACACCTCAATCTACAGAAATGGTGGATGCCTGTGGAATACATGTCATATCAGATCATACAATAGTACAATCTGATCCATCTTTACAACTGGGATACAGAAGCAAAGAAAATGAAGGAATCCAAAACAATATTTGTTTGACTGAAGCAGACTGTGGAGAATATCCTTCAGAGTTGAATAGATCTACTGGGATTTCCTCTGGAGAAGATGACACAGAAACATCCAGTCCTTTAGTCTCAAGTGGCCTCACAAGCTTGAATATTGGATCATTGGAAACTCTGTCAGTATTAAATGAATGTAAATCAGATATGGATGGAGCTATTCATACAGATGTCCCTGGTGACTTTTCTCACCTTGCATTTTCTAAAATAAACACATCACCTTGCACTATGTCTAACAAAGCTCACTGTTCTACCCATACCGTTTCTGAATGTGTACCACCTACCGGGGCACTTGCTGAGTCACATTTGACAGAATCCCAAGAGTTCCCACCTAATGGATTACCCTTCAGATTAAGATCGGAATCTTTTCCACAAACACTTGTTTCTAGCACCAAGACCATGTGTAACATAGAAGACCATTCAAATATAGAGTCAACGGATCGCTCACAACATAGTGTAGCAGGCTGCAAAATAAACAGTTGTTTTGCTGATCCCTACCAAGCACCAAACTGTTTTGTAAATGCCCAAGAAAACACTGTTGGACATGCACATTTCAAGGATGATGGCACTGACAATAAATCCTACATTCCCAATATACTGCCATCTAATCTTCACAGCAGTTTATTTAACGACTCATCAACACAAACACAGACATCAGTAGAAGATATGGTTGAGAATAAAGAAGGTCTTCACTTTTCCTCAAGTGACATTAATCCCTTTGTTCACTCTTGGCAGCAGGAAGTTAGTCCCAGGGCTGGGTGGAGGAACTGTTCATTTTACAGTGCCAGTGATGTATCTTGCAGTAAGTTTCAGGCTACAGCTGATAAATTAATAAGGTGCTCTAGTGTTAATGAAGGGCTCAATTGTCACAGCTCTCCTTTTAATTCTCATCTTAGTTCCTATGCAAATGCTAAACAAGCATCCAGCACAATAAGCAGCTTTGGAGGAAATGATTCCAGGCACGATTTAAATTCGCTTGATGGTTTTCAAGCTCATCTATTGGACGAAACTGATGCTATACACAGAAGAAATGATATGGAATTTGTTGGAACATCTGGGTCACAAGTAAGATTTGAAGACGATTCCCAGCTAGATGAAATAATGATCCTCTACACTTCAGAGTCAGAGACTTGTACTGAAAATGACCAAAGAATGTCTTATGAACAAAGAACACACACTAAGCCTAGATATCGTAAGACCAGCAAGCACCAAAGAAGTAACACAGATGTGTCATCCTCAAGGCAAGTTAGGCAGCAGAAATCATTTCCTTGGTCCAATGTTCAGAGCATGTCCTTGCATTTATCACAGCTGTTACAGGAAACCTCAGAACTGCTGGGAAATTTGTCCCAACAGCGTGAAAATGTCCCTTTTGATGCTATTGGATTACAGAAAGATGCTGCAGAATCGGTTGACAAAAAATCAGTCAAAGACGCTTTTACCCAAACTTATGAAGATAAAGGTATTCAGACGGATAAGCTAAACATTAACAGTGCACAAAACTATGGCACAGAAATGAACAGTTTCCTAAGCCCCTCAGAAATAAATGTTATTGTGAAGGTAGTTGGAGCAGATTCATCGGTTCATATTCCACACAAGAGTCATTTAACAGGGGCACAAGATAGTGATCAAAAAACAAAAGTTAGGAGACAAAGCCTTCCAAACTTGCATGACTATGTGCCTTCTAAACCAGCAGAGCATGAGTCTAAATCATCACATGTACGAGCATCTGCCCCATTCCTAAATGGCTCAAAAGACATGTCATCTAGATCTCTTCAAATTTCCTCACCTCGAAGTCCTCCTGTTTCAGCCATTTTCAAGAAGTTCTCAAGGGAGATTTCTCCTGCTGTAGTAAATAAACCTTCATCTGGTGTTGTTCAAACTATGAGATGCCACACTGCTAATCAAGGAAACAGCATGATGGTTGATCGGGCTTCATCACCAATTCTAACACTAAGGGCAAGTAAAAAGCCTTTTGATAAATTTGGACCTGAAAATCATTCCAATGTACAAAACCTTGAGAAAGTATCTCAACATAGGAAAAGGAGAGAGCGCAGAAATCATGATCTACAAGTCGCCACTTCTCAAATAGAAACAGACAGTGAAAGCATTTTTTCTTCTGATCAGGGAAATCGAGAAAATGAATTTGAAGGTGGGCATTGCAGCTCTCTCAGAGAATCTCCTAAAAGAAGAATAGCAACACATCAAGTTCAGAGATACAAGAGTGAAGGTTGCATTCTGCAAAACAAACACTCTCCCTTTACCAACCAATTTAGTAGCAACTCAGAGATTTCAGGTTATGAAGACAGAGAAGATAGAAAAGACTATTTTAGATCCATCCAACCCAAAAAGGTACCTGCATCCACATTTGCTGCTTTACCGGCATGGGAACGCCCTCAGTCACTTGAAAATATCTCTCAGGTGGCACAACCTGTACTGGACAGACACAGGCAGCTCCTAACAAGAACAACAAGGAAAGATTATGGCGCTGATGAGAATGATATTGTTAGTAGTACCATAAATTCAAGTTATCCATGTGCAAAAATTGAAAACTACCCATTCTCGCGTTCTCAAGTAAGTGGCTTTGACTTGCAATTGCAAGAAGACAGCTTATCTGTAGTGGAGAGTGAATGTAATACCGACATTCTTTTAGGTCAAGAGCCCACTTTGGCAAACAGTCACAAGTCACATAATTATAGCTTGCAGGATCTGCCACTTCATAATAAGTTCAGCAATTGGTCTGGGGTTCAAGGTAGTTTACCAAGAAATGTACAGTTGCTGTTGAGCTATCCCAATCTGAGTATGAAACGGAGTCCCTCTAATCCATCTCAGGAAGAGGTGGAAAGCCGATCTCGTGAGATTGAAAGGCTGCAGCGGGAGCGTGCAGAGATCATGTCTGCAGTACACCTGGAGATTAATCCACAGCCCCTTACTGTACAGCTAGCAGAAGCCAAGCTGAGCTATGGAATTGGAGAAACTGATGCACTACTGAGAGTGATACAGACAGGAAAGATGGATCATCAGGATCAGGTTTCCATAAAGAAACAGCTATATGAAAGGTAAGAAATAGTTTTATATAAAACTTTCACAAAAGTCAAATCTTAACAAAAATAGATTTTTTTTGTACTCGTTTTTGGTGTCCATTGAGGGACATGGGAAGTCTTTCAACTTTAGGATACACTGCCTAAAGGAGGATTGGAAGCTGGCAAACAATGTACGGCAGCTCAGGATAACCCCTCCTACTACTGCATTCATTCATTATATAGCAAAGCAGTACTGGCTTAGCAGCTGAGGGCTCATAAGCTGCCAAGACTACACATAAATCACATCTAGAATCATTGGGAGAATGCACAGAGAGTACTCTTGTGGCCTCTGGGGAAAGAATCCGCAAGTATCTGGGTGAAGGGAGATTTAGCTTTAAATTGGGAGATTTCCAAGCACTCAGGGGAATGCATTTTAGGGCATTATTGCCCATTTTTTCATCCAAACACCAAAATAACAGTGTTCTGTCAGGCAGGGTTGTATAGCATAACAAAGAAACACAAACGTATTTCAGCCTCCTGGCTATTTTTGCACACAACTCTATTGATTCCTTAGGACAGAGCTGCCCAGTCTCAGCCTCTCTGCTTAACTGGTTCCTTCAGTGACCTGACCAGACCTCTTATCAGATCATATACAGACAGCTACTTGCTTAGCTTGGGCTGGTCTATTAGGAATATTACACTATAAACAGTTGTGTATAGCTGTGTGGAGCCTTTCTTTCAGCCTTGACTCCAGCATTTCCTGAGTCGCTGACACCAAACAATTTGGCATAAAGTTGTTATATTTTGTGATCTAACTTCTGACATATATGTTCTATGTTAAAGCCATAGAATGAAAGTCAGACAGACAACATTTTCAGGAGGTGGTTAGCAATGACACTTTGTCCATGACTGGCTACCTTTCTATAGAATTTATTGACAGCTAGAAATGTTCAGTTGTATGTATTATGAGCAGATGAAACATTAATTTCTTTCATCTGTTTCTTCACCCTCCCTCAAGGCACATGAAAGCGATAGAAAATTTGCGCAAGGAAAGAGAAGAGCGACTGCAAAGTTTTAGAAGAAGCCGCAGCCTCAGCCCCCAGAAACAATTGAGTGCCTCTCAAACATCGCTGTCATCATTAAGAGACTCTGATTTGCCCAGTAGGCGCAGGGAGTACCTTCAGCAGCTGAGAAGAGACGTTGTGGATAGCACCAGGTATGATATTGATTAGTTGTGATTTTTGAGAAGTTTGGCCTTTCCAAAATATCTCATCATTAGTATACAATGCACACAATTCTGAAGCATCAGATGAGCTTTAGTTATAATGGAAATATGTGGAAATTATTTTCCTGTAGCAGCTATTGTCCTAATATTCAAGCAAAAAATATTTTCACTTTTAAACAACCTTTAAAGTGTATTTCCACTTTTGCAGCCAGATCGGGATAACATCTACTTTATATTTAAGGAGAACATACAAAAGAAGCACTGCATGTCACCCAATCATGGGCTTAGTCGTAGATTCGTAAGATCTCTACCACCAAGCCTGTGATTGGGTGAAACGCATCAGAGGGGGCAGACCTTGGGCGGGACACCAGTAATGTGGTACAAGCTTCAATAAAATATTCCAGTGGAGTCTGGTGTGCGGGCAGATTTTCTTCTGTTTGTATGGACCTACAGTACTTTATATTTGTTACATGTTCTCATTCACATCACATAACTTTAAAACACAATTGCTACTTACTTGTATAAGTGTTTTTTACATGCTTAAACATCCTACCTCGCTTCCCCCCTAAATAATGTTGAGGGGACTGAGGAGATAATGTTTACCATAAAAATCCTGTGTATGATCTATTCCCTGCTCTCAATGCCAGAGCCTGAACTTCATCCCCCTTTCATAGCCAAATGGGATTAGACTTGGAAATCACCTTCACTCCAGCAAAGATCCAAAAGATGGATCTCGTTTTCGTGAAATCTTCCATGTGCACCAGAGTCCAAGAATCCAATTACGAAATCCTCATATGATGGTACAGAACCCCCTCTAGAAGCCTCAGGTTGTTCTTATAGGCTTTTTCCAGATGCTGGCGATACAAGACGGTTAAGGGCTCACTACTCCACATTTTTTGGCTGTGCCCTAAAATGTCGGAGTTTTGGCGCAATGTCAGGAGAATCAGTCAACATTTTACAGATCATCACATACCATCAGAACCGTTGCACCCTCCTTTTACAGAACACTTCGATACCTATAAAATCTATTGGAAATCAGTCTTGAGTCACCTCTTAAATGCAAGACAAGACACAGAGAGCGCCTCCATCGCATAAAAACTTTTTAATAACGAATTAAAATTAAAGGTACTCACAAAGGACGAATAAAAACAGCCATAAAAGGGTCAGAACGAAAGGTGCATTTCCACCGGCTGTTCGTCTTCCCTGGGAGTGAAGTGGTTAAAGGTGCATATCCACCGGCTGTTCGTCTTCCCTGGGAGTGAAGTGGTTAAAGGTGCATATCCACCGGCTGTTCGTCTTCCCTGGGAGTGAAGTGGTTAAAGGTGCATATCCAACGGCTGTTCGTCTTCCCTGGTAGTGAAGTGGTTATACACCTTTCGTTCTGACCCTTTTATGGCTGTTTTTATTCGTCCTTTGTGAGTACCTTTTATACCATTTTTTTATTCGTTTATTAAAAAGTTTTTATGCGATGGAGGCGCTCTCTGTGTCTTGTCTTGCAGTGCTGAGGTTGTTCTGAACCTGGTGAGAGCCGCCCCGTTATCGCCCTGCACTCCTGAACATCATTGATTAATACTCTCTTGAACCAAAATCTGCTGGCGCGGTGTTTGATTCCGTCTGCCACCTCTTAAACGCAGACAACGCTTGCATCCCAGTTCATTGGCAGGAGAAAAGTTCCCTTTTTATTTCATTGTATCTTAATAAGGTTGAGGGCCACAGACCAATGGAGGATCTGACCCTCTCTCAAAGGGACCAGTCAGAGATCTATAAAAAACAATGCCTGGCATTACTGGATTACCTTTATATTGTCAGTGGAAGGAAAAGGCCTTGTGCTGAGTTCCAACTGAGGCATACATTCTGCTTGATCACCTCCCCTTACCAAAAGCTTTGTCTTCCCTCTCAGTTGTCTACTTTACCTCCCCTTCTCTGGTGCATTTCTGTCTTCACCCTATATCCTTCAAGTTTCTTTTCAGCATCCCTTCAGTAGGTATTTCTGCCCCTACTCCTTCTCTCCTCATATTATTCCCCCATGGCTGGCCTTCTTTCCTTAGCGGGTTCCTCTCCGGATAGTGACCACATCTTACAAAAGAGGAAGTGTTCCTCTCTCACCTCCTATTTTTTTTCTCTCTCCTTTTTCCTGTATCTCTCTCAATTAATCTAAATCTCAAGGGGCATTGCTCCAAACAAACATCCAAAGGGTAAGCGATATATGTTTTTAAAATATGTTTTGTAAATGGAAACACATAGCAAACCTATAGTGGGCTTTTCTCAAATTTGACTGCAATAGTGGGAATACCCTTTAACCCTGGCATCAACAAACAAATATGCACATCGGAGTGGCTGCAGAATTGATAGTGTCTCAATTGTGTTTTAGAATTCAGGAACCAAAAAGAAGGGCAGCTCAGTGTCCTTCAGAAATTGAAGCAATGCTGAAGGATTATCAGAAGGCTCGGGAAGAGGCCAGGACTGAGATTGCCAGAGCAAGGGACAAGTTACGTGAGAGGGCAGAGGTGGAGAAGAGACGCCTGCTGCAGGGCACTTTGCAGAAGGTGGGAACAGAAGAAACAACATGTCTGTATGTCTGTCTATCAAACACAACATTTGTTTATTCTCTAAGATCAGACTGGAATATGTACAGTAACCACTGTAGAAGATACTTGTATAGATGTATAAAATGTATTTGTATTTTTTAAATGTATTTTTTAAAATAGTGCCAGCCTTGTATAGTCCATGTATAGCGGTGAATGGCGTGTGAGACGAAAAGGTGGTACAAGTAACCAATCAGTTCATGTGCTGATCCATCCAACAATTTTTCATAATGATCTCTGTCGAATGCATACCGCATAGCTGCTCCTGGCGGTGCCGGCACTCAGTTCCTTTCTGCCGGCCCTCTGACAGCCTTCACTGAGCACCGGCCGAAAGGATAGATTCAAAAGCCAAAGGGGCAGAATTTACTAATCAACCACTGGATCACCAGGGATTGTGCCTCCTCACCCCCTCCCTGCAGAAATGTAAGCAAGTGAGGGGGCTCTTTCTTTTATTATGTGTATGTGTGGACGGGGGGGGGGGTTTCAAAATATAAAATTGCCAAATGTTATACTTTGACGTATGAAGTTTGGCAAGTAGCCCACATGGGAGAAGAAAATGTGTCCAGTGGCCCCCGAGTGCATTGAATTTGAGACCCCTGGTGTAAATCATGTAATGGTTAGTATTGTTTCAGTGATGACAGTTTTACAGGTGCTGGGTGAGATTGTCTGAATGAGGTGATATTGGATATAAAACAATGTATTTTACTTCATAGGAGGATACCAAAATGAAGACACTTGTAAGCACCAGCACTTTATTTACCAATTCCAGCCTCAGTCTGTCCTCGGGACCAACGTCAGGGTATAACAGTGGCATTACAAACACCCCTGCCAAGGGCAATAAGATCAATGTGAGTAGAACATGTAAATTATACCTCTGAACCTCATCTGTATGTCCTGGCACTATGCAGAGATGCTTTGTCAGCCACAGACCAGAACGCAGGCAAATAGCTTTGGTGGTGTCAGTGTTCATGCGACACTTGCTCACATATATACACTTCTCCCATGCTATTAAAATACCTTTAGAAAAATAAAATAGTTTTAGATATGCCCAGTGTGTGTATTTGCAATAATATCAGATCCTAAAAGAAAGATCTTACCATGAGGCTGGGTGTTCTTTTTTCTAAGCTGGTATCGCCCAAGTACGGCACAGAAAAAGGCTTTTCGCCTTGAGTTATGGCTGTCTATATATTTCCTGTCATTCTAAACATTAAAGGTACAGTGCATGGTGGATAGTCTACGTTATGTCAGAGAGAGAACAGACAGAAGAGTAGTCTACCCAAACATTCTTTGTATTGAATAAAAAATGTCAGGTTTATTTTGCTTTATAGATTGCAATAAAAACACTTTTTTTTAGTAGAGAGGGTAGAGGTTGGAACTTTTTCTAGTTATTTTTTTCTTGTGGTTCTGTGGGTTAATTTCCCTTCACATCCAGTTACTGGTTGTACCTAGGACAGAACGTGGGTATATCTCCTCACACTCCCCTGTCACACAAAACAAAATAGCCAGAAAAATGCCACTCTATGGAAAGGCAAATAAGAAGAGTTTTACGTAGAAATAGACTTTAGCTAAGAACTGGTAGCGGCACTTTCCGTCTACTCCTGGTGAATAAATGTATTTTTATGTCCAGCGTTTTTTTCATATTTACTGATTATACTGAGCAATATCCCATATCATATGTGAAAGCCAGATTGTGCTCTCCGGGAGTGCAGGCCTGCCTTCATATCCACAAAATGTGTTCAGGTTACATCTTGCTATTCCGTTCCCTATATACTGTATTATTTCTTCCAGTTCCCTATTGAATCAAGTTCTCCATCCAATTCTGTTCCCTTTTGTGTGCAGTTCCCTCTTCTCATTCTATTACCCCTGTGTTCAGGTCCTCCCTCCTATCCTATTCATCATTAAGGGTGCGTTACAGTCCCAGTACTGCGCCAACATGTCACAGCCCACTGAGCTGAAAAAAGTACTACATGCGGTACTTTATTTCAGTGCACACCATGGCAACGCGCTGAACGTATTTGCCAGCGCATCCCTGACGCATTTGGGGTGGAGAGAGCCACCATCAGAGAGCATAAAACCCATCTATGCAATACTCAGCATTTGCCTACATACAAACAACGGTGACACAGGTAGATATAGAAGGCATAGTGGCCTCTGTTTTACCAAGAGAGTTGGGTCAGATCTCAGGTTCCATCTAAGGCTCTGACCTTGACTAGTGAAGTGGCAGCGTTCTTTAATTGGAGGAGATAAGCAAACTGCAGAACCTCATGACATACAATGCCATTGTTGAAGATCCGTATACCTAAAATACTCAGTGCATCGATTAGCTTTTCTTTGCTTCAGATGGGTTTTGCATTCCTATGCAAGTCTATGGGAATGCTGTTTGAAGCAGATCAAATGCACCTGTCCATGAGTTCTGAATGATCTCAGAAGCATCTCAAACTGATGCCATTGCCACAAAGGCCAAATCCTGTCAACGCAGGACCTTGTACTAGACAAGTACCTCTCTGTGTAAATCTTTATTTGAGTGGGCTCAAAATGTTTTTCTCTTTAAAAAGACTTCACCAATGGGCTTGGACTTGGAACTGGGATCTGGAAGAGGAAGATCTGCAGTGAGGAACAGTTATCTTTTGGTGCCCACCCTGAATGCATCAGCCTCTGGTATGTGACTGTTGTGATAATGTACTGTTAACAATGCAGATAATCCTTTCACAATCAGGGTTCCATAGAACTCTTTAACCATCAGTGTTAAAAATGATTAATGTATGAAATCAAATAATAAATCATCACTTACAATGTCTAAGAAGTAATCGCAAATTCAAAATGATGTGCGGCAATCAATAGCAAAATGACTTGAGTTTTAGCACTGCGACTAATGTATTATGCGGTGCTGAGCCTATAGAGGAATGAAAGAACAAAAATCCAATGAAATGAAGGGCTGGGCCAGGGACAGTTTGGCTGTGGAGAAAAGAACTAGATAATGCTGAACATCCAGCTAGAAAAGGCAGGCTTTATTTGACTTGCGTAAGCTTCTAATGCACACTCTGAGATGCTCCCAGCATGCAGTGATATCAGAGTAAGCAATTTCAGTACAGGAGAGGAGCCTTTACAACTGTGCAAGAGTGAAGGTAAGGCCGGAGTTCAGCTTTAATGCGTATTAATAAATCACCAGTAATCCAGAGGCAGCCATACTGGCTTCCAACGTGCTCTCTCTAATGGTAATGCTCACAGATACCAATGGTTACAATAATCCTCATCTGCCATTATTAGCTAATAATAATCTACTCCTCATCTGCAGTAACATGGCCAATAGTGTTGACTTCTAGCATTTTGGCAAGTTGCAGTCCTCTCCTGGGGGTGTGTCCTGGAGGTGTCTGGGACACCTGTTAGACAAACGCACACTATCAAATAGCAGATTGGACTACTTGGTTTTTGTAGTCCTTAGGGACATCCCCCAGCAGAATCAGAAACAGTACGGCCAGTATGTCTCCACATAGATGAATATTCCTGCAGGTGAACGAGCACTGACAATTGTGTGAGCCGGGGTTTAGTGCAATACAAGAGCTCTATGAGGTGGATGATTCCACACAAGACAAGAATGGGAAAAAATACTTCCGTTTGTCATCCTTGGGCCAAATATGTAGTTAGGAAGAATACAGAGTCTGCCTTGCCGGCAGCACTCTCAGTCCTTAAGCTGCCATACACAAGTGGAACTTCACTCGAAAAAGATTTGTTTTCAGAAAGAATTTTCCAGTATTTGTTTTTTAAAGGTATATTTTATTATGTTGCAATTTATCAGTACAACAAAGTGCATGGCCAGTTCTACAATTACATGTACAAAAGGGGGAACAGCAGCAAGAACAAGAGAACACAAACGTACACATTGGTCAATAGAGTTTGCTGCTCACACCAGTCTTATCATATCACATAATAACCTTAACATTCTTATGGATTACGAGACTTGTTATGGACATGAATAAAAAGGTAATCCAAAAGAAATCATTGTTTCCAGCAATGAAGACCAAACCTTATTACATTTTTGCAGACAACAATCAGTTTCATGTGTCTCTTTGTAAAGGAGGGAGCCTGGTTAACCAGTTTAACCCATAGGCCTAGTGTCGGGGGTCACAAAATCTCCAGTTTATAGCTATTGATTTCTAATAGTAATACTTTGTTAGAGATAAATAAACAGAGTGAATGTTTATATGTAACAGATAAACTTTCTTTTTAGACCCAAACATAAACCAGCCACCTCCCGAGAAAAGTTCAGCGGCTGAGGTATCACCAGCACACAGTGGTCACCCACATGGTCCCCTCCTGCAGTCTACGCCAGTATTATATCAGGATTTTGCAACCCAGGTTCAAGCCAGTGCAATGGCAGAGGTGAGTTCTGTACACATCACCTCATTCAATGTATAATTAACCCCAACCCTGCCTTTCTGAGCTCCAACCCATTAGGTCTTTTTTTTTATTTAACTTTTGCAATATGTTTATTATCAGTGAAAAAAAAGGCTCTGCCAGCGCACTTTTCCGAAGTATGGTCACCCAAAAGGCCAACTGCAGGTTAAGCTAGCAAGTGTCAGTCAGTAGAGGTTTAGAAATCAGGATGAAGTGTAAAAATGAAACCCCCCATCATGAATTAGAGTCTCAATTTCAGCTGGTTTCTGAGACCTGTGGCCTGCTGCTTGGTCTCCCTCTTCCCAAAGTGATACTTGCATAGAAATTTATGGCAAGACACCAGGTAGAGATCACAGTGTAGTCTGCCATTGTTGAAAGTACTCAGTCACCATAATTTGTAAGTACACCTGTACTGAGAGCAATATGGGGGCAACATCACTAATCTCTAGGGATGCACAGATACTTTTCGAGTACCAGTGCAGATACTTGGCATTTTCATGAGAACTACCACGGTTGCAGCGGTTGCAGCTGGGGCCTGGCTTTGGTGCTCCACCACTGTCCTGAAATCATTAGTCTGTATTGTTTTAGAAAAACTGTCACATGACAATAAACAAAAATGTATCAGTACTCGTACTTGTAAGTACTCGGCAAGTACTCGTACTCGCAAAACTGGTATCGGTGCATCCCTTTATTTATATTTATAAAAACAAAATCATACATTAAAACAGAGATGTACAAATCCCAGGAGCTCCGTGTGCTCCTTACAAATGACAGCTGACTCCTAACTTCTGAATTTTTCTCTAGTGTAGTCTTGGAGCTCAAAAGTATCGGTACATGTACTCGTACTTATACCAAGTACTGTACTTGGTATCTGTGCAACCCTACTAATCTCCTTCTAAAAAATGCCTATTAACATAATAGCCAGGCGACTAGCATTTCCAAATAGAGGGCTCGGCAATGGCGGCTAATGGATTTTTTTTTCAGTACACGTTTCCTTGAAGAGGTAGAACAAATGCCTTTACTATGATCAGTTCCACTACTACTCAGGTTGCCACTTACCTGCTTAATCTGCAGTCATACATTTAATGTGTATCTTCAATATGACCATAAATGTAAAAACACAAAAACGATTCTATGAGCACGATGTACACACAATGATGAGAACATTTCTTTTAGCAAAACATTCCATCATTTCATAGGGAAATGCCATCCTTAGGTTGCAGTAATTTCCGTCTAGGTCTTTACACACCAGTTTACACGGCTTCATCCATTTCTTGTATTGTATTGTTTTATACCTTTCCTACTGTTTACAAATTATTTGTTTTCTAGGTAATGGCCGCTTGTTCATACGACATAAAGAACCTGTTCAGTGGCCAGGCGGCAGCAGGTTGGATGTAAGTTTTTATACATTATTGTCTTCTTTAGCTCCTGCTTCATTTTCACTCATTTCCAGACATGCCAGTACTGCATATGCTGACACCTCCCAGCTAGAGAAAGGTTTACATGCAAAGCAGATGCCCTTTAACAAAAGCTTTATCCAATCATTCTCATGATATTAGTGTGGTATATGGTCTTGAAGGCTGCTGAGTCATTGGAGGGTGGGGTTGCTCAGTGCTATGAAAACGGCTTGGAAGGATTCAGTGATCTTTGAGGATGAATTGCTATACAGTACCTGCAGCTACATAGGTCAATGATGGCTTGTTTAGGGGCACATTTATACCATAACATGCCTTAAAGTGCACTTTACTACACATGTTATATCACATTAGCATTGGCTAAACGCAAGGTAATACATAATATATATGCATTGCGATACACACTTAATTGCACACCATTGGGCATACAGTGCACCTTAATGCACCAGTGTTATAGTGCACTGCAATGCACAGGTGCATATGCTGTGCATTATAATTGTGCAGGATCTGTTTTTTCTTGCATTAGGGTTTCTGTATCAGTTGCTTTTCACAACATGCTTAGCACACCAAAATGTGTGTGTTGCAATGTTTTGATGTGAAAAAGGTCCTAAAAGCTCATTCACTGCTTAAAAATATGTAAATACTTAAATGGCCATAGTCCACTTTAACCCTTTCGCTGCCAAGGACGTACGTCCTACGGAGCTACAAAAGTGCTTCCAGCTGGCCAGCTCAGTACGTCGTACGGACCTGGCATTTACAGTTCTACTATAAGAGAAATAAATGGATATTGCCCTATGCTTCCTTACTCATGTATTTCATAGCAAACGCTGGAGCAATTATTTAATAACTGTTACTTATGAAAATTAGATTTGACAGTAACTAGTATACGTTACAGTGCAGCTTGCCCTCAGACTTCAATATATTTGGTAGATTTTTCTAATTTGCCTGACAAATTGTTAACAAAAAGCAGTAAGCATTGGTGTGCAATGATCCATGGTAGCTAATCGCAAAGCAGGTTTTATAAGCGGACCAAACTAAAGCTTTTAATTAGGGATGCACCAATGCTGATACTGAGTATTTTGGGTGAGTACCCGTACTCGCCTAAATGTCCCCGATGCCTGTCCCGATACTGGAACTTCCGGCATCAGGAAGCCGGATGGCCTGGTGACCAGGGGGAATGGAGACGGCTTCCCAGCTAATGGGGAAGCCAGGCAGCGAGTCATTACACACCACCCGGCTTCCTTAATGGGACTTCCGGTAATGGTGAGTACTGTAAAAAAAAGATATCGGTACTCGTACTCGATATTAAAAAAAACGGCATTGGTGCATCCCTACTTTTCATAGGTGGTTATTGCATCCCAGAGCTCTCTGGACCGACAAAGAGAACAGAAAAGAACAAGTAATAACGGGCACTACTTATACTAGTTATGTTCTATTTATTTCCTGCAACACACAAGTAAGCTATACATTTGATTTCTATAGTCTCACTTGACATCTGTACTGTTATGAGAGCCCACCCTAATGCATTATGCTTAGGCTCCTGTAGATGAAGTTACCTCATTGGTAGCCTCATACCTATTGCTCCAACCACCACATTACAATGGAGTAACACCACCAACATCAAGATCTCACACTCATTATTTTGATTTCCAGGCTCTATTCTTGCTATGTATTATGTGAGGATAATCCCATATCTATCTATGAATGTACCTGTCCACTGTATTTGTATATCCACAATAAAAACATTAAACAAGGATGAGGGAAGTCATAATTGCCCATTTTTTTCTATTTACATACTGCATATGTGAGAGTTAGGAGCTCACCAAGAAATGTTGTTTTCAGAGCCTCCATCTATAAAAAAAAAATAAGACACAGAGGGTCTTTTCTATGTGTTTATTTAACACTTTGTTGCTTCTCTATTGCAGATACCAGACAACAGAGAAGGATGTATTGGTATATTACAAGGCCTTCTCATCGCCCACCAAGCATGGCTTTATTGGGGCTGGGGTCATTAAGAGGCCTCTACATAATGTCTGGGATATGGTAAAAGACGTCCATGCAAGGGGGCTGTATGACCAGTCCATCCTGAGCGCTTGTGTACACCAGAGAGTAAGCAGCACTGTTCAGCTGGGTGAGTGGCATGTTTCAATACATAGAAAAAATGTCTTTAAAGATCCCAGACTCTTTTTAAAACAAAGAAATAAAAGCACACATCTAGAAATGGGACCCAACTGGTAGATTATGTTTGCCTGTAGGGTTTGGTGAGTATGGGTAGTAATGCTGAAATTCAGGTCTCAATCCTTTTAAGTCACTGACCTGGAACAAGTGCGTAGCTAAAGACGCAAGAACAAATCAGAACTCCTCAGAATTACTATATCTGGTATAAATCTGTCAGTTTATTGCAGGGGTAACCAAACTCCGGCCCTCCAGCTGTGGTGGAACTACAAATCCCATGAGGCATTGCAAGATTCTCACAGCCACAGACATGACTCCCAGAGAGAGATGCATCATGGAATTGGTAGTTTCCCCACAGCTGGAGGGCCGGAGTTTGGTTACCCCTGGTTTATTGGCTGACTGGAGAGACATCCAGGATTTTTTATATTCGGCATGAATCTACCAGCAGCAATTGATAGTATAACATTTTCCAAATCAAGCGAAAGCCTAGCTGAGAGGAAGGAGACATCTATTCTCCTGAGGACACTAAGCATAACTGGTGAGGTGAAAGGGGGTTATAGCTTCTGGGGGCTGGACTTCAGTTTATATGTGTATAGTGTCCATTTCTCCTGTAGGTGGTAGTATAACTCTTTGTTACTTATTACCAGTAAAGCTGTGTCCCCCAGTGGACGATTGAGAAATTCCATTTGTCATTCACTTGAGCCTGCCATGTTCACAAACTTAGTGTGTGTTTCCATTATACTGAGTGACAGCACGGCTCATGCTGAACTAGAGCATGAAAAGCTCCCACTTATTCTAGTCAAGTGAACTGCTTTTCCTTGCTCAGATAAATGAGCGGTGATATGCTGAGGATGAGCAGTGAGAGACCCACAAGAACAAAGATACTACCGTCCACATATGCATAATCAAGACATAGCAACATCATCAAGAGTTTTTTTGCTTTTTTTTTCCAAAAAGGTTTCAGATCTTCTTAAATTATAATTGTCGGATTGATACAAACAAGAGAAGTTCTGCTACAAATAATTTGTGGCTTTGCACTCTATAGAGCAGATGAATAATTTATGTGCTGACACTCCCACTGACTCCTGTGTTGCAAATTGTGTATTATTTGTTTTACAATAAGATCAAATGTCAGTATTTTTAAGAAGAACACGAGTGAAAGGAAGCGTGTTGTGGGAGAAACATAAAGTCTTTAACCGGCTAGAATATAAATAGACCTGAGCACACTCAGTCCTACAATCATTGTAATACTTCCATTACTAAAGCATTGTCTTGTTCATTTTCCTTCTTTAGTCCATGTGGTGATGGATATGTCACTTTGCTACCTAAAGCAACCCAGGGACTTCTGCTGCATCACTGTGGAGTCCAAAGAGGTAAGCTCTGACTTACTATAGGCTTAGAAGCCTGTTACAGGTGATATGTAGTTTTACACCTGCGGAGAGAAGGCCGTTCTGTCTATGTAGAGTAAGGGCGAGTTATAACCCATCACCTTTGTTTTTTTCCCCCACGTGTATCCCATGAGTCGAAAAGAAAGAGGAAATCCCCCCAAAGTGAAGGAAATCCCTGGTGATTAGCAGAGTCTTCAGAACTAGTGTTCCTAATGCTTGTGGTTAGTGGAAGAAGAAATAATGCCCCGTCAATGGATGGAATGTAGTGGAAGGAATAATGGCCTTATATGTGTATCAATGGGAGGAATAGTGCCCCATTGTTGGCATTAGTGGGGTTGGGGTGTAATAGTACCCCTTTAGCAGTGACAGTGGGAGGAATAGTGCCCCTTTGTTGGTATCAGTGGGGGGGGGATTGTATTTGACAGTGGGAGGAATAGTGCCCCAAGAGCAAGTTAAAGCATAGTGCCTCATCACCATTTTTGTGTCTGGCTTTTGCTCTCACGACACTATTTCTCCCAAAGGGCCACATCCAGCTTGCGGGGAAGCAGTTTGGGGACCATTGTGCTAGATGATGCTGAATGTCTTGCAGCCAGGAAAAAATGAGGCAGGCGATACTTTTTCACAAAATTGACTGTTCCCTAAGAATGTGTTTGTATTACACAGGAGAAATGTTACAGCTTGTGCTTCCAGTCGGTGTACAATGAATCTATGCCACGTCCTAACAAGGATGCTGTAAGGGGAGAGATCCTGCCCAGTGCCTGGATACTGCAGCCTGATAGCAGCAATGGAGAAACAGTCACACGGGTCATTTATATGGTCCAGGTAAGAACTACAAGTTGTACAGGTGGAGCATGGGTCTGGTCAGCCAGAATGCAAGGGAAAACTCCTCCATGGTAACCAGATTTACCCCCATTATCTATGGGAGACTTAAGGCAACAATGTGCTTGATTGCAGAAGTCCACTGTTTCTAACCTAAGGGATGTGCACAAATCGGAAAGTTACCAGAACTGTAGAGAACTTCCACACATTAGTATATAACTATCAGGTTTATTTAAGAGCCATCCCACTAGCCCCTTTGTAGCAGCTACAAATATGAAAAATGATTTGCCAATTCTTACGATAATTCCCCTTTCCTGGTTCCTCCTCCTCATGCCAGCCTGTTATGGTTCAGCTCCACCCTCAGGCCAACCCCTAACTCAGTTATATGACCCAGGCAGTCCCTACACAACAAGAATTTGTGAGAGCACAAGAATGAAGAAAAGGAGGAATCTTCTGGCTTACATGAGGAGAAGCCAGGGAAGGGAAATGATAGCGTCCACAATCTTCCAAATTCCTGGTCTCCTAATATCAGCCTACTATGGGAACAATACTGATGTAAAATATACTGCATAGCTGCTCCTATCGGTGCTAGTGCTCAGTAGTTCCTTTCGGCTTCTGTTCACTAAGTGCCAAAGGTGCAGACCTTAATAATCAGCCACTGGATCACCAGAGAATGTGTCAGAAGAAATCATGACAGTGTGGTGTGGCCCAAAGGAAGGATTAGTAAGTTTGGCACCAGCCAAATGTGCATAGCGTACTAATCAACCAGTTCAGGACTTTGGCCATTCCTGGTATAGCCAAGGCTTTACCCACAGCACTCTACCCCAGTATAAGACGGACAGACAGATTCCCTCTCTGTGTTTTGGGAGCATCAAGGGAGACTGCTGTGTAAATTAAACTAATGCTAATGAGTTAATGTTTCTCTTTTGCACTGTAAGTAAAGTCAAAATCTTGCTTGATGTTGTACTGTATTAGAACCATGGTAATTTCTGACAGTTGTATGGTTCAAACTAAACACCACGTCAAATGTATATAGTGCCACCAACAGAAAATACTTGTAAATATAATAGTTTCAAAAAGAATATCACTTTACCGTTGTATGGGGCCAGCATTACATTTGACATTTTTTTGTTTTTCCCCAGGCTGATCTTGGAGCTCCAGCTATTCCCTCCAGGCTACTCGGTGTGGTCAGTAAGCGGCAGCCTCTGGTGATTTCAGGCCTGGCCAATTTCTTCTCTAGGTAACACAGTATTCAGCACCAGGGGCTACAATCATTCCAGGATCACCGTCACAGAACCGTGAAGGGATCCTGGCAACACAAAGTACAGTATGTCTGTAGCACACTCTCGTGTAAGATTTGGCAGCTATCATGCTTGCAAGACAATCATTTTTAGTTGAATTTTTCCTGTGGATGCTTTGAAAAAGTTTTTAAAAAGCTTTCCTATTCTGCACACATCTTTATGGCAGGGGACAATGGCATCTGGTCAGCAGAGACTTAGTTGTCATGTAAGAGAAGTAGGCCCTATTTATCAGACAGGGTCAGAGAACGGTCTCAGGAAGTGTTGCCAAATTCACCCCAATTCTTCTTTCCCTTCTCTCATTATGCTCTGGTTGCTGTGGGAACACACAGATAAACAAGGCCTGTTTTTTTATTTATAAGCTGGCATTTACCAAGCCATGTAATGAAATCCTGTAACAGCATATCATTATGTTATGCAGGGGTTGCAGAATATCATCTCCTGTCATTCTGCAATAATGTTTGAAGGCTTCCCATAAACTTTGACAAGTTAGATTTAAGGGCATGCATAAAAGCATTTGTCCAAGGCTGGGAACATTTGAGCACGAGGGTTGGTATAGGAAAACCATTCATATTTTGCTCCACAAAAGAGTAATTTACAAAGTGTGGTAACCCATAGCAACGTGAACTCAACTTCTAACTCATCTGACTGCAGTATGCTAAAATCCGATTTGTTACTGCATCTAAGCGTCTCTCTTTCCATTGCAGTAAGAACTAGAAGACAAACCACTTTATAGTAAATGTACACTACTAAGAAAAAAGCAAAAGCGCTGAGGACTGATCTTGATGATGTGTTTGTTACAAGTACAGGATCGCTAGGGGTGCTGCCCCACTTCAGCCGGGGAGGCTGTAAAACTGGAAGACAAAAGAGAAAAATGTACACTGAGCGAGAGCCATTCCAGTTTCAGCTAAGGTGTTCACTTTGTGCCTGGACAAAGCCATACACGGGAGAATCTGATTGGATCTTCAGAAGGTCCATGGACAGTTTAGTTTGTATCAGGTAAAACCATCCAATGATATAGACGGCACAGCCAAATGATCTCTGCTCAGTCAGATTGGGGGAAAGTCTTCCATGTGTCAGATCTTATTCCAATACATGTAAGGAAGCAGACAACCCACATGCACTGTATTCCCAGAGTTGTATAACTCTTTCTAGGCATACAGGAAATAAGATTTTAAAATAGTCTAAGGCACTTCATAAACAGTTTTAGCTGCATTTGGACAGGTTCTCTTGAAGGGGAGGAGCTTTAAATACAAAGCGGTACCAATAACGCTTTATTGTATATTTAATGTTGACTGTAAAATGATTACTTGTATATAGAAGGAAATGTTCCGTCTAGGGGTGACATTTCTTTTTACCTGAATCAAGTATCCTATGGAAATCGTTTTCCTACCCTCAGTAGACTACATATAGAGAGAAAAGCATGGGGCTTGTTTGGTGCTGTGTGACCAGACCCAACCAACATGGCTTTTAGGTTAGACCTTAGTCTACAAGTACAGGCTTTTACTTCACTATAATCAGTGGAGTCACAGGACATGTCCCCCGGAAGTAATAATGTGCAGGCAGTGAAAATGGGACCATTGTCCATAAGCAAGCAACCAACCAACCAGACCATCTTATTCAAATGTGAACTGGGGAGATGGAACAAGAATGTGTTTGCTACTAAAGCCCCGGGTGTCCTTCCTCTAGTTTTCATAAAGCAACCCCTTTGTATAGGAATAGGTACTAGTAGTATTCTAGAGATCACTGACCTAGAACAAGTACACACATAAGGCCTTCTGAATTCTATGGCAAGGACGGCCTCCATATTTCTCACTAAAAAAAATGTACTTTATCTCCATATTCACCATCCACTCATAAGGCTTCCACTATCTTAAAGAATCACCCTACTTGCCCCTTAGGAGATGAATGTGGTGCATGTTCTTTCATGACTGCAAACTCCATTTCAAGCCAAAGTACACATAAGATTTTTTTTACTCTTGGCTTGTAAACACTTCTCTAAAAATGAGTGCAACTTGAAGCAGCCTCTAAGATCTGCAATTAGAACCAACACTCTGAAAGTAAAGTGTGATTCTAGGGCTTCCACATCCAACAGGGTAACTGCAACTATGGCTTTGCGTAAGAAAAGTATTATACAACCAATCTGTTTTCCTATAGAACATGCGTCTGTTGAAGCAGGAGGTATAATACTTACAGGCCACTGAGCAGTGACACGGTGAGCACAGAGAAGACCCAGATTAAAATGTAGTTACCCCAAAGCAATCACATTTTTATATTCAGCTCTCTGCTGTTGTACAGGAGAATGGAAGGGTTCTTGTATTGGTTGATATGGACAAGAACTTTGATTTCTTCAGATACTTCTGAAGCGGCCCATAAGCAGCAGGTTTGTAGGCCTCTTGCTAAATGCTAATCAATCTCTCAAAAGTTTTACAGTGCAACTGTCTGACAGCTGAGAAGGAAGACACAAAAGTTTAATACACTGTAACTGAGCAGTTGAACACTCTGAAGGGACCAGTGACAAAGTAAGCCCGCTATTACACTGGATCCATGAGTACTAACTATGCAGGTAAATGCATTATATTATTAGGAGTATGCAGGGAGTCCTGAAACACAAGGTGGTCTAAAGTAGTCTTGCTAGTGAAGTGGAAGGCTAGCTTTGGCGTCCTCATTAGTGAGGTTGTCCATCACAGTTATGGGCCAGTAGGGAGGCGTGAAAGCCAATTGGGCTAGTGATTGGCCATTAGAGGTCAGAATTTGCATTGCCTCTGATATTAGGTATGCAGGCATCTCTAGGGTGATAACCAAACCCCACTCCTAAGAAACAGGCAAGGAAGGCAAAATAATGCCTAATGGAAAGTTACACAGAACAATGTCTGATTTGTTACATCTTCAGGTAGATCAGTGCGATGGACAGACCCACCGAGCAGGCAGGAGGACCAGGTTCTTCTTTGCTGAAGTGTCTCAGGGTTAGGGACTCCCCCAAAGCACTCTGCAGCTCGTAAAGCCACTAAAGGATTGATTGAAAGACTAAGACCACACACATGGATATTGTAACTGAAAATAATGACCAGGCAATATAATAAGCCAGCAAATGATCTAAGCCCAGAGTGTCCAAGCCCATTATTTAGCCAGGGACATTGCTTACAATGTGAACTTTGCTCTCTCAGCATTGTACAACACAATTGTGTTATTAAAACAAAGCTAACTTAACCATGTGAAAAGAATTTTGAAGGATACAGTTTTCTGTACAGTGAAAAGTTTATTTTTTATATAAAATATATACAGTTTTTTATGTTTACAATATAATTTATTTATATATGTATATGCTTGCTTTGGATTTACGTTTGTAATCTATCACCTGTATCAAAAACATGAATGCAGATTTGAATCCATTTGTGTGTGTGTGTTCTGCTACCACAATACACTGCCTGGAAACGGATATATGACAATATACATCACTTACATACATGTGTACAAATCTATACACACACATTACAGAGACACAAGTTTGGGTTCTGCATCTGGTTTTATGCCTTGGACATGTATTAAAGGTATGAACATTGTGTGGAAGGGGGAGATTATTTGGATTCATTAGACATCCTGAGACTAAGGCTGGGCACACACCTTACAACCATCGCAAGACTTCTGTCTTGCGATGGTTGTAAGGTACTTAAAAAAACGTACGATCTGCCTATGTTGCATAGGCAGATCGTACTTGCGATGATCGCAAGCCACGCCCCCTGAGGGGCGGGCTTCCGATGACCAATGCCGAACGGGCAGTGTGCGCTTGCGCACACCGGCCCGTGCGGCTGTTATCGTACGGACATGCCACAAACCCACCGAACATCGTACGATGCTCGGCGGGTTTTCAAACATGTCCGTAAGTTTAAAGTCGTGCGACCTTACAGTAGTAGAGGTCGCACAGCTTCCACACACCTTACGATAATCGTACACTCGCGGGATTTCCCACGATAATCGTAAGGTGTGTGGGGACCCTAAGACTGGAAAAGAAACAATTAAGAACCTAAATCTTTCCACTTATTTGTGGGTGTATCACATTGCTCCTCCCACACTAACTACAAACCCAGTGGGAAAAGCACCCCAAACTAATCTTCCATTAAGGCCTATTGTGCTGTGTTACTGCAATTCTCATTCATTCTGAATGGCACTCCAACGCACCCTGCCATCCAATGTGTGGGTGCTGCACAAAATTCTACAGTCACCTCTTTTGGTATCTCTTGAAATGAACGGGCTTCCTTAACACTTGGCAATGCAGAGCAATAGTGTAAATGGCCCCCAAAAGAAGATCTAACCCAATCACTAAACTCTCATAGAAGCGTTAACATGTTCTAATGTCAGAAATGGTTTTAAATCTTTGTGAATATAAAACTTTTTATTAAGTGATTGTATAGCCAAAACTTGTTTGTTGTTGTGGATAGAGTGGTGAGAGCCCCTGTCAGCTTTGTATTGCTGTGTCCCTGCTGGGTAAACTCACCCCATTTGTCCTGGTGACCACTGCCATCGAAGACGGGAAGTGATAGGAAACCCCACTTCTGTCTTGCGATGGTTGTAAGGTACTTAAAAAAACGTACGATCTGCCTATGTTGCATAGGCAGATCGTACTTGCGATGATCGCAAGCCACGCCCCCTGAGGGGCGGGCTTCCGATGACCAATGCCGAACGGGCAGTGTGCGCTTGCGCACACCGGCCCGTGCGGCTGTTATCGTACGGACATGCCACAAACCCACCGAACATCGTACGATGCTCGGCGGGTTTTCAAACATGTCCGTAAGTTTAAAGTCGTGCGACCTTACAGTAGTAGAGGTCGCACAGCTTCCACACACCTTACGATAATCGTACACTCGCGGGATTTCCCACGATAATCGTAAGGTGTGTGGGGACCCTAAGACTGGAAAAGAAACAATTAAGAACCTAAATCTTTCCACTTATTTGTGGGTGTATCACATTGCTCCTCCCACACTAACTACAAACCCAGTGGGAAAAGCACCCCAAACTAATCTTCCATTAAGGCCTATTGTGCTGTGTTACTGCAATTCTCATTCATTCTGAATGGCACTCCAACGCACCCTGCCATCCAATGTGTGGGTGCTGCACAAAATTCTACAGTCACCTCTTTTGGTATCTCTTGAAATGAACGGGCTTCCTTAACACTTGGCAATGCAGAGCAATAGTGTAAATGGCCCCCAAAAGAAGATCTAACCCAATCACTAAACTCTCATAGAAGCGTTAACATGTTCTAATGTCAGAAATGGTTTTAAATCTTTGTGAATATAAAACTTTTTATTAAGTGATTGTATAGCCAAAACTTGTTTGTTGTTGTGGATAGAGTGGTGAGAGCCCCTGTCAGCTTTGTATTGCTGTGTCCCTGCTGGGTAAACTCACCCCATTTGTCCTGGTGACCACTGCCATCGAAGACGGGAAGTGATAGGAAACCCCAACATATTACAGTTGTCACCAGAACAAAATATAGCAGTAAATCTTCTAATGAGAACACTTGTTCTGGTGACAACTGTCTTAGAGGGGGAGTTACCTAACTTTGGAGAGATTTCCTCTCACTTTCTGTTGTGTTCAGGAAAGGCCTCCTTCACACGGGGCGTGCATGCCTATAAACATCCGAACTGCACATCCTGTCTGCATCCACCTATACCCCGCATGGATGTGCAGGTCGGATGTGCGTGTAACAGCGTAAAGCCACGTCCTCCCATAGGGAAGAACAGGTTACTGTGCGCAATCACTCCTGGGATCGGCCCGTTTACAGACGTGCATGTCACATGGACGCCACGTGTGAATGAGGTGTAAAATCCCCCTAAAAAATAAACAGACAGAGGTTTAAGCCTTTCCATTCGCTATCCAAAACTACAAAGGAATATTTTGGCTATACATTTTAAAAAATATCGGGTAATCTTGCCTTAAAGGTCCGTGCTCAGGTACTTCCTGCTATGGGGGTGATATCTCCCAGCAGTACTCCTTTGTTGTCACAAGTGGCCATGACAAAAACACATATCATACAGGTATGGTCCACCATTGTCACTCAGGAGACAAGTCCAGAATGATGATCTGCAGCTGATGCTGGAGCGACTGCACGTAGGCAGGAAGTAGCTGAGATAGGCTGGAGGAGATCAGCAGCACTGAGATGAAATAAGGTGATAACAGTGATTTATGAAGAAAAAAAGCAAGAAATTGTTTTTATACAACTGTATATCATATCATCTGGTTAGGGGTTAGTTCCATCTTCAATAATAATAAAACAACAACTGGAAGCAGCCTGCTGTGGACAAGACCAGCAACTAGTCTTTTTCAACTTGGTAAGCTTCAGGTATCTTTTTATTTTTTATAAACCGACACTAATTTATTAAAATGGCGCCATCATCTAATACACGTCATCAATACAATCCTGATATCCACAGACCTGATTTCATCATTAAATGTATTAAACTCCATAATCTAGACAGGAAATTCAGAATAGTATGCACAACATTATTTTATTATTTCCCAAGTTTCACCGAAGACCAAAACGTCTTGTATCCAATACACCCTGACCAAGGAAATCTGCCTGTTAGTCCTGCTCATGGTCTCAGACCTTGCCAGGTCCCATCATCATTAACTGCTTGCTGGTTATTAGTACAAGGAGCACAAAGGTACAATCATCAATCAGAAACCTTGATGTGTTTTGTGCTGCCAGTACTATGTCTGTGACCCCATGAGTAAGCACTGGCAGTGTGACACGGGTCAAGATTCATTTTACAATGTGCTCCTTGAACTAATAAACACCCACTGACCTCAACAAGGACTCCTCGTGTCAGTGTGCGTACCTGGCTGTTCTATTACTACCAAGGTTTCATTACTTTTGGAGTAGCTGATCCTGTAGAACAAACATGCAGATCAGCAGTTCAGACTCAAATATTCGGGCCATAAACTGCTATTAGCATTCTTATAGAAAAATACGGAGACTGCCACTGATGACCTGCTAAGGCATCAAAGGTTACCTAGGTCCTGGAATATTTGCAGACCTCATAAGCACAGAGCTCTGAAATGAATTCCATTGCCTTCTCCAACCAATAAATACTGATTCGTGAAACCATATTTGAAGAAATAATACTTAAACCTGATCACATTTCTGTGCTAGCGTGCCATGATCTGTGGATGTGACATTATAATCTCACTTCACCAAGCTACACATGATTGTTACTTAATGTCATACAAATTATTTTAAGCAATGGCGACTACTACTGAGCGTCAGATTGCTGAAAGTAACAAGTGTTATGACCAGTAACAAGCATTCATTCTAGCTTTGCGAACTGAGCCTCATGTCTTTCCTGGATAAAACCAGCCTACACTTAGGCCTTGTTCATAGGGGCTTCACCTTGTAGAACAAGCAGTGTGTACACTTTGGGAATGTTACACAGATCTGTCACTATATACAAGCTGCTTGCAGGATTCAGTAAGCGTCAGCACTGCTTGAAGCTTGTTGAAAGTGAAGGGGGAGCGTCAGCACCCCCTTTAAGATCGATGAATAACATTCCCAAACTGAGCTGAGTTTTGCTGTAAAGGCTTCAGCACAGCTGCTGGAAACTCACTGATGGCTTTACAAGTACTCTGTACATACTTCTCTTTCACATACTGAAGTCCATATGTACAAAGCCTAAATGTACCAATATAAAATTAAACACCTCGAGGCAGAAGACCTCAAGTGATTAACATTTTTAAGTTGTGATTTTATATAAAAAGAATTTAAAATGCAAGTGCTCTTTTCTGTGATAGTCTTAAAGGGTCAGTACACCCACAACTACGGTTTCAGTGTCTGTTGGATGCTGGACAATTGAATCACAATACCCAAATGAGAACGGTGCCGTAGCAGCGATCTCTCACTGCTGGAGTCCCCAACAGATACAAGATACCCGCAGGTCACGCTGCCTGCCACATTCCACTTATAGAAATATGTTTGGGGCTACTGACTCTTTAAAGCCCCCAAAATATTTGACAAGATCCCTAAACATGCGGTAAAAATATTTCAATATAAAAATACCCCGAGGGTTCCAAAATCAGAACATTGCCAGTTGAAATAAGAAAATAGTATAGAACATATAAATATAAAGTTCTGTGAAATAAAGTGTTGTGCTCTCGGCTCCCCAGTGAGTCAGTGTACGTTCACCGAGAAGTACCTTGTATTGGATGTGGAACACATGGCACAGTTAGCAGCATCAGACGTAGGAAGACACAACTGGTGTTCCAGGCACTAACTTGGAGCAATGATTTCAGCCCCTGTGTGTGGCACGAGTATACCGGTCCGATCTTTTGGCTCTCTGTGGTTTTCTGAGCCAAGCGATAAATGATCCAGCTCAGACAACAGATCCTGTTGTGGAAGAAACACATTTCTGTTACAAAATTGTTTCATATATAGGGCCACATTTACAGATCACAGGGCCCTGGAGGTAGGAAAGAGTGCAGAGAATCAACCTCCAATAATAAGGAATGCTTACCAATGGCCACTTGTACTTTTGGAGTCTGCATATGTGCTCTTCAAGTTCACCTTTCTGTACAAGTCCCAACTCAAGCAACTGTTGTATTAAGAAGGCAAACGTTCCCCACTGCTGGACAGAAAACCGATTTCAGATTGATCAGTTTTATTACAATCCATGTTAAACATCTGACCCTTCCCAGAGTGTAGGTTGTGTAGTTTGGAACGCCCCTCTTTGGGTGTCATTCAAACTAGAAGAGGACTGGAGCTGGATCACAAAGCTGTGAGTTTGCCGAGGACAGCTCTGGATGTAGGGAGAGTATTGCAGCAGAAGCAGCATTTTTATATCAACTCCTGTAGGGCAGTGAAGTTTTCCTTAAGCTGGAGTTGTGTTGTAAGAAGACTGAAGACAGGTAACTAAGAATATTTTTGTTACTAGGAGTTAGACTTCACTGACAGTGGAGGAGAAGAGATGGGATCCCAGAAGGGAAATCTGTCAAATGTAGTCCTCAAAACATGAGAGGCCAGTGGCTGAAATAGCCAGCTATCTATCCAAGACATTGGGGGAACTGACGCTTCAAGCACATGCTTTGTACACCAATTTTCATTCACGTTATATGCAGTGACTGGTGGTTTCAGCAATCGAACAATGGCCGTCACCACTAGGGCACATAGAACACAATTGTTTTCTGTGTGTCCTGTTTACAGCTCAATGCTGCCTTGAGATGGGATGATGTGCAGTACAAAACAATGAACAATGTTTTATAAGCGCACTGGACTGCACCAAAAGGCCAACGTACTGCAGCACAGTACAATGGGCTGCTGTACGGAGACGTGAATGGAGGATATCAGTTCATATACTCCAAATAAAGTTAAAAAGCAAACCGTGTGATGCGCTGTCACAACACCCTAGCCTGACTGCTAAAATGGAGCGTTCCAGCATGAGGCTAGTGTGACAGCCCTATAATCAAATCATGACTACTGCAAAGGCATTTGAATGTCCTGAAATAGAAGGACAATACAACTGTCATTCGAGGTTACGTAAACTACCATAAGCAGTTGTCAGTTCTATCAGTAATAAGGGTAACTGTTCACATGTATAAAACAAACACTGATCTCACCTCCTGTGTGTGCACACCCATACAATACTTCATATTCTTGTGGCTAAATATCAGCTGTATAGGTACAGGGACCACAAAATCCTTCTTCCAGATTGTGAGCATTGACATCAGAAGCTGGCTGACTGCTTCCTTCTTACGCTGATTTTCAGCAACGTTACATAGCTCAGGGGAGAGGAAATCCACCAATGGAACTTGACCAGACACTAAGATTGAGACAACAAAAGTGGCTAAAAGGAACACTTGTGTACATTGCACACAGCTAGAAAAGCAGTGTGTGGATTCAGCCTTACCAAGGAGGGAAACCAGCTCCACGGTACATTTTGCAAGGTGGTGTTCTGCTGGTACGGTTGTATACTACCAAAGAGAACACAAATATGGTTTGAGCTGTTGTGTACTTTACTGACCTTACTGTACATAAGAGCCTCCAAGTGCTGTGATTACCTTCCTGCAATTTAGAGTCTGAGAGAGACGCGCAAGGAAATTTCTCAGCTGAGTTAACTCCAATCCTTCATCACAATCACGAGGCCCAACTGAAATACAGAGAAACTCCTAGCAAGGAGATAATAATCAGTTTCCCCCGGCTGTGTAAAACCTCTGCAGAGCATTTCAGGAAAAAGTGAGAACTGGTAAGACACCAAATACAGCAATGTAATACCTTGATTTCACTAATGAGTCTGGAGGGGAGAGCGACTTTGTGCTCACAATCATCACAACATTCCTTCTTCATAGCTGCGTTATCCACAAAGGACGAGGTTATATTATGTGACTTCACCATACGATTGAACGTGGCCTTCACTTCTCTTCTGATAAGTGCTGAAAGGGATCCAGAAAATAACATTTAAGTTGCTATAATCTCATGAATTCACACTCAGAAATGTCCCCCTGACTCCTCCCTCCCAACGGCTGTTCCAAATTTAATGTGGATTTCCACGTATGCAGTCAAATTGGAGAAAACCCCTCTATATTCTTATGTGTTCCCATCCACACAGTATACCTAAACTCTACATGTTTGTTATGTGTTCCCATCCACACAGTATACCTAAACTCTACATGTTTGTTATGTGTTCCCATCCACACAGTATACCTAAACTCTACATGTTTGTTATGTGTTCCCATCCACACAGTATACCTAAACTCTATATGTTTGTTATGTGTTCCCATTGTGTGGATGGGTAAGACATTATGTTTTTACAAATGAGTTTAGGTATACTGTGTGAGTATACCTAAACTCATTTGTAAAAACATAATGTCTTACCCTTTTAGACGTCTCTGTGTAGCAGGCCTGCGTGCAGTCTGCTAGCTTTTCTCTACATTTCAAAAGTGACAGCAAAGTCTGATTGTTCTCATAGAAAGATTGGGGACACTCTGAGCTTCCTGTCATTAACATAGAACGCTTCTAGATTTTTTTAAACCTTAGTTAGGACAGTGTTCAAATCTAGTTTACAACAAATGAGCTCTACCAGCACAGAACAGACAGGGCTAATTGTGGTAAACATTAACTTCCCCTCCCGCGCTTTCCAGAGTAATATTTAATGTAGAGAACACTAGTAGTAGAAGAAAACAAGCAATAACTGGAAATACACTCAGACGTTTTTGTCAAACAGTTTCATCCGGAGTCCCAACTCATGGTCTTCACCCCTTCTAAAAGCGCAGACAAAAACATGAACAACTCGTGACAAGCAATGTTCCCCCGGGTGTGATTGTAAGACCCATACAGCAGGTAAGGTTTGGGGAACAATAAGTGAAATGTATACAGGTGGAGGGGATTTACATAAACCTGGAAATACACATTCACAACTTCTCATCAGTGCAGATGAACCTGGATTTACAATATATTTATAGGTTCATCCAACTACCTGAAATGTTGGTGCTTAGCCAAGTGCAAGCCTTTTCTATAGCCAGGGACACTGCAATGTCTTCTGCATTCCTCAGGACCTGTGAGAAGAGAAAAGGATTTCAGATTCCTCAGTGGTGAAGACATCATTGTAAATATAGAGCAGTTATATGCTGCCTGTGAGAACAGCACTGAAAACATGACAAAGAAGTAGTAATCCCACCCGAGTAGGAATCCTGTAGAGGTGCACCGAAATGGAAATTTTAAAACCGAAACGAAACCGAAATAAAAAAAAAATGTCAGGCCGAAACCGATACCGATACAGCGCTCTCCACCGCAGCCTTCGGCCGGCTGTCACTTTCTCTTCTTCCTGCTGGGACATAGAGCAGCGCCCAGCTGGAGGAAATAAATCAGGGATGCGCCGATGTATTGGCAGGAAAATGGCGCTTTCGACATAATGCCAAAAGTGCCATTTTCGGCATATATTTATTGGTGCTTTCCTAGAATCCTGTTATGTCTTACATTATTTCTCTACTGCATGTGCTCAGGCTGGGTCACACCAGGCCCACATCTATATACAAGAGTCATTGACTGACACTATCAATATTCACTGTGTCAATGTGCAACTCACAAAGCACAGAAATGGTTGGAAGATACACTGTAAATGTTTTGTTACACTGAGTAGTTGCAGCTGTTACACAGATAGAAGGCTTCTCATTTTTACAGCATCATGATAAATAAAAACCCCACATAATAAAAATGTTCATTTGTAAACTCCTTCACTACGTGTTGTATCAGTAATAAAGCCTCATTTGTCCTCACCCCCCTATAACTAGAATGTCATAACTCATGTGAAAACTGCTCAGGTCTATGAAAGGTGAAGCAGCAGCAATGGCTGAATAGGTGGTTTGTAAGGTTTTGCTGCAATAACTAAATAAACATTTTTTTTCCTGCTCTCTTTACACAAAATACAAATATAATCCAGATCCTGATACTCTTGAAAATGACCAACCAAAAAAAAATAAAAAGCCTGTTTGCAGGTATAGGATGCCAACACTCACATGTGCAGCAGCTCCCTTTATCCCTGCTACATCTACTTCTGAGTAGTGTAGCTTGCCCCCGCCCCTCTTCACGCCACGTTCCTATTGGCTCATCACTATAATGGTCTGCCTCGCTGGCCAATAGGAATGTGTGAGGCTGGAGGCGGTGGGCAAGCTCTGTAAGTAGCAGGAAGTGCTGGAGCCTGGCATTGGAGCATAGCAGGGGCAAGCCGAACTGCTGCATGGCATGTGCAGGCACCTACACTTTTATAAAAATGGTCCCCAACCACCTCAAGCTGATTGCAGCCCTTGTAGAATCACACAAGGAAACCTTCCACTCTATTATGGAAGCTGAACTGATGTTTTCTCTAACATCTATAACTACTACAAGGAGGATGAGGGACTGCAAGAATTCATATTATAGTCCCCACAACTAACTTAATGACATCAGAAAACATAACAGCAACCATCAGATCTCCAGCTGCAGTGACACTACAGGTCCCAGCAGGTCTTTCCACCTCCCTGGTTGACCTTATACACAGCAGGCCATGGGAGAGAACGAAAAGATTAGCACTGCCATAAGCAGTATGTATGGATGTTGTCACACAGCGGGGAAATAAAATACTAAATCTGCTCCAACTATTGGGTAGGAACAAGGATGAGAGTACACAGTGGCTACACACGGACCCAGGTAAAGAATACCATATCGTTTCTTGTTTGACACTTAGATGTGTAAAGTTCACAGGGAACACTAAATTTGGGCCTGATTCAAATTAGAGGTACATCGTTCTCCAAACCTCAATGGCAAATACCGATGTAGCTCAGATCCAAAATAAATGGCAGAAGAGCCAGCTAGCTGCAAAGTATCTAATACACCCCAACTCCAGTCACACTAGTACTGAATCGAGTGGGGAAGAGAGAGAGACAAGAAATCTCCCTCATAGGTTCCAAATCCAACCAGAACCATAGATTCTGGTTGGATTTGGAGTGCGAGGAATGTAAGTAAACTAATATAAAAACCATAGTACCCACACAAGCAGACGTCTCCTCCGGTAGCAGCACTCCGACAGCCTCTGGAGCCTTTCTCTTGCAGTATCTAGAAACCAAGAAAGAGGGAAGTACAGCGACTATATAACAGCTTCGGAGATTATATGATGGCTGCGCTGCACCAGAAAAAAGACAAAAATGCTCAGAGTGAAAGTGTTAAAAGTTAGCTTTGGCACTTCCAGTTGGCATTTTGCAGTTGATCTTTCACCCAGATACACTTTTTAATCCATTATATAGTGTCTCTGTACAGCTTTTCCTGTTCCCAGACCCCACCCCAAGATGACACCATCAATGTAATCCAGTAAAAACAAACATAAATGGATAGGGTATGCCCATCCATCTCCTGATGGGTTCCTGTGAAGTTGGAAGAGCAGAGAGTGCCTAGTAATCTGCTGATTCTAATGCGGAATAATAAAATAAAACTTAAAAAAATAATAATTTGTTTCTCACATAAAAAATTGTGCTAATGATGCCCCTGTCAGCCAAACTTCAGTCTACTTTAAGAGTAACCTGCCGCCACCTAATGGTAAGACAAAAACGGACACTCCAGTCTTCACTGACACAGATCTTTGAATATTGTCATACTTCCAAAATGTTTCCACATATAAATCTGTCTTACTCCTGTCCTTGCTGCAGAGCCTGCCGTCCATCCTCACAGAGCCTGGCACACACACTGTCCAGCAGCTTGCTGTGACCTGCAATGTCCTCTGACACTTTATCCTTCAGGATGACTTCAGCTCTCTTCACCAAGTCTGCCACCAAAGTAGCCCTTTAATAAATGAGAGGAACATTCTTCATTCAACCGATAGATCAGGTGTGATATAGAACATATATGCTGAGCAGGTAATGTGATTTGCTGCACAAAAATGAACATGAAGAAGTCACTCACTTGATATGTTTAACACAGTTAGATCCAATCCGTTCAGCCACAAACTCCACAGATCTACGTAGGGACGGAGGCTGATTGTGGAAGAATGCTTGTTCTAGCTCAGCCTGTGAAGAAAGATGCATTATTCTTTCCCAGTGATCAGCAGAATCCCATAATAAAAACCTGCTTCCTTTGTAATACTGAACCAAAGTCTGTAACATATCTATAATTGAATGAACACACAGGACATATGTATATATACAGATGCACACAGACACAGGCACCCTGTGAGAGCTGACCTCTAGGCAGATATAAAATATACACGAGTGCAGCTCTGCATCTGTTAATGCATCATTAAAACAAGATATTTATACTTACATTAAAATCTATTCCTTCAAGTCTATTGAAGAAAACCGGAAATTCAGAAGCAGGTTATACTGACACCTTAATGGAAGGTAGGACATAGAACCCCTCCTCTACCCAGCATGCCTCAGGTTTAGAAGCAATGCCTCAGGTGAGCACCCGTCTCCCTCTATGCACTCAAAAAAAAACCAATTAGATATAGCAAGGGAAAAGGTCTTTTTTTTTTTCATCATCTGTTGAGGGACAAAGGAAAGTCAGAAAGAGATGGGATGTTCAAAAGCAGTCCAACTCTGGGCTATGCAACAGTCACTGATTGGCCGGAGATAGGACCGCATGGACCAGAGAACAACCAGAAGGATCAACAACCGAATCTGAACCAGGTCAAATCCCTTACCAGACAGGGAAAACCACTAATGACCAGAGGATTAACATAATGCTCAGGGCAGAAAGATCACCACCAAAGGAAACAGCTCAATTTGATGGGACATGGATTCCGTACCAGCAGCTGCTGTGAGCCAAAGCACCACCCAAACAGGTAAGATAACACAAGACCTTAAAAGGAGAACTATGAGATGAGCGATTTCCACTCACCTCATAGTTCTAAGCCGACCTGTGACAATGCTAGCCTTACATGCTCAGATGTCTCTGGTTTAGCTCTGTGGGACGAACAAGAGACTTCAGGCAATTGCCTTATTCATGCTGAACACAGCGGATAGTGGAATCTCCCCTGCTGGCTATTGTATTCAGAGATTTGTAACACCTGCAGATGTCTGAATACTCTCAAACAGTGACTGCAACTATCTGCCCAGAGAACCACCCACACCTTGAATTTCAGCTAATTCAACAACCAGGATTCAATCAACCAAAAAACACCTTTTGCCCAGAAAAAAAACATAACAAAAAGAACCACCAAGTCCCTGAAAGGGAACTTTGGCCAAAAACAGGTGCACAGAAGACGAACAGCCAGTCTTTAGGTGAAAAACAGAAGGAAGGTTCCACAAATGGAACAGGGTCGCCTGGCGAGACAACTACCCACTCTGGCAAGGAAATATTTAAGGTAGTGAGAAGTCTTACAGATTATCCTAAAGCTACAACCAAGGACTCAATACTCAGGGGACCCATCCGGATGTCAATACAGCTACCCACTTGTAGAAGTGGGGCCCACCTTCATGCAGAAGACTTAACAGAGGGGTGAACCTGTCTATAGGCCTCCCTATGGCCTGAGCAGGAGTTAGATTTAGGGGGTCTACAAGTTCTTACTGCCAAGGCAGATGAAGTAGGCAGACTGTTCCTCTGACCTTGTTTTGCTTCTGTATTGCCAGCATGACTATGCAACTGCAAGTGACACATGCTAATTTAAGAAGATTTAATCAACCCTCTTAACTCCTGCACCACAATTTTCATGAACTACTATTACGATTGGATCCTTAGGAGGTCTCATGTCACTGCCTCTTTCTAATCATTTTAAAGCTGCAACTACATAGTGTTATCTCTACCAGGGTATTCCACGTGTTCATGTTGATGATCTAAAGGTTTCATTTTCCCTTTTTGCTATTGTTGGTTAGCCACTGGGTCCCATTTGTGTGCAATGTCACACAATCCCCCATAGGAATACAGCCTTGGAGTTGTCTATTTGCGACTCCCTTGATGATGACCCAAGTGTGGTTTGTAGACACACTACGTGTCATATTTGTCTGATTGTTCATAGTTTGTTCATATTTTCTCTAAGGCTTTGTGCCCTTTCTCTTGTCTTTCTTCTATTCCCATCTGTGTGCCCCATTGCCAGAGCTTCTCGAATGATCTTCAAAGCCTCCCAGATCACTTCCAGTGTAAATTCAACAGTTGGCTTTACATATGTAAACAGACACGCAGCTGTTCCCCAACATATGATGTATGTTGATGGCAGCCAAAGGGTCAATGCCGTGCAAGTTGGGTTTGCTTGGAATTGCTTCAATGTTCTTTGGGTCTGGTAATTTGGATTGCAATCGGGATGTTCTTACACTGGACCAAATCAGACTCTCCTGCTGAAAGATATCTCAATGTGTTCAACCTTACAAGAGGCTGCTTAACTCATTTGCCCAAATCTGGTGGACAAGGTCAGTAATACAGCCCTACTCTTCACCAATATTTCATCTTATTATTCTCATTAGCAGCATCCTCCATACGCACATATAAACAGTCAATACTTCCTACATTACTATCACTCATTTCCAAAAACTGGAGAATTGTAAAACCACCTCCAACTGGTTAACGAACGTTGGTCATGTGCGTCTCATGGAGGAATTGACCCACAACCAAAGAGACACATATAATAAATACTACTGAATCTGAACAGACTGGTTTGAGGTCAAACAATCCCCTCGCTATGCTTTTTACAAGCAAACCAGCCCCAAACATGAATCTAAATTGAATGAGAAACTCAAGGATTAGGTTGAAGGTTTTGGGCCCTCATGAGTCAGATGGGACTATACTTGCCCCTCTTCAATATTCTGATCTTAACAGCCTTGCTTAAAGTCATGACTTCTGATACTGATCTAGTACTTATACTATATACCTCAGTGGTAACCAAACCAGGGCTATACTACAAACCCCTTTCTGCGCCCCCTCTTCTCCTCCACTCTTGCCTTGTGTGTTTTATCCATGGCTTTCCTAACCTTCTACGTACTGCATTGATGAAGAATATTGCTATTGCTTTGATAAATGTTCATTACTCAACTGATTCTTGATGGCACCACCTAGTATGTTCAACATTTGAAAATCCCTTGAAAAAGAGAAAACAAATGGCAAGCTATGCAAAACTGATTTATATTCTCAGTTTATGAGGGCTAGTAGAATAATCCACTGCCTTATCTCTTGAAGACCCGAGTAGTAGCTGGAACTCTACTCACAGGTGCACCCATCAGTTGTGACCAATATAAAGTGCTGTCATACCCCCAGCTGGATTTTTATTTATCATATATTATAAAGAATGCAGCAAGTATAACAGTCTCCATCTCCACAAAGCAGTTGTAGAAAAGAGAACTGTCAGAGAGATCTCCACTTTACAGTCCCCATAAAAGTACGCGGCGGGTAATATTGATTGATATCAATTAACAAAAACTGAAACAACACCTCCGGCTGGGCTGACCCATGATTTGGGCTGTTACTGATTAAAATTTTAGTGTTCGATTAATCGAAAATGTTTTAAATCGATTAATTTCGATTAATGATAGGAGCCACTTGGGGACATCGACGTCACAGGACTCCTTCCCTCCGTTAGCCGACAGAGCCACTTGGGGAAGGGGGATATATATATATATATATAGTTAGTGATACACTCACAAAAAGCTACCACATTGTACAATAAAACATTTCTTACCTGCAGCTTTTTTTGGGACAAAGTTGGTTTTGGCATCAGTGGCTCTGCAGCAGTAGGAGTAATTTTCCTTATAAAACCTCCATTCCTTGCTCCACAGCCAGCCACGAAAGAGATGAGCAACCTCCGCAATTCTCCTGCAAAGGAGAAATACATTACTTTGCATGAGGTAAATTTCTTTGCTAAGACGACTTCTCCAGACTAGTGACAGGCACATGTTCAATCTGAACAGATGGTTACTTACCAAGGTAAGGACAACAGCTGTACAATAGTTGCTGATCCACCAGAGGCACACAATCCTACAGATACAGAACATTTGTTTTTTATGGAGCTGCCATTATTGTACTCTCAATATATTTCATATTCTTACTCCAGCTTTTAGAATATTTGTGATTACATTCCTTTGAAAATTGCATATTTATGGTAATTTCTTTCTGCACAAACATGGCTTGAGCAGACCATGCCACCACCTGGTACTCGGCCATCTAAAAGGCAGGCAGGAAATGTTTATTAGGAGTACTTACAGAAACCTGGAACATCAATGAGACTCCGATCAACAGAGGCATGTTTGTACTAATCCTGATGTAAAATTTAAAGAGAGCCTTCCAGATTACTCGCAATGCCAACCACCCTGACATCATCAGAGTGTTTAGCAAAATCTAGAAGTCTCATTAAATCCCTACTCAAAACCACTGCATAGGAAGCATTGGGACTTAACGTGTAACTGTGGTCCAGCTACGGACATTCAAATATGTACATAATCTTACCAAGCATTTCAGCTTTAAGACAATCCCTCAGTGATCTCTGTAGCCGCAGGCACTTGGAAGTAATTCATCCTCCGCAGAAGCACTGATTTCTTTGTCTAAGCCAGATTAGCCAACCCTGTTCTCAGCAGTGACTTGGCAGATCTATAATTTAGGGCTGGTTCATACCAGCGGAATACTAAAATTATCAATTTTAGCATGCAGCTGGTGTCCGCTGGGTGAGAGGGGTGTGTAGCACTGCTCTTTTAACTCAGAAGAAAGTCACCAAAGAAAGTAACTAAAACAAATCTGTACAGTAACCGGGTAACTTACTCCAGTAGATAATCCTCCAATAAAAAGAGGTAACCACAATTATACTGAAACTGCACAAAAGCCAGACTCTCACACTCACCAGGGCTCGTGTTGTTACAACAGTTCCTACTGAAACCCCATCTTGAGCAGCTTCATTGTTAAAAAACATATCTTCTGGTACTGCTGGCACCTAAAAAAAAAAAAAAAAAGTCATATTACTTAAAGGGATAGCAGCAACCACACACAAAAACAGCAGCGTACAGAACATATTACAAACACGGTACCTGAAAGAGCCATCCGAGAACAGCAAGAATCAGCAGCTTGTTTAATAACCCCATCTCCTTCTCATCAGCCACGATCAGCTTGTACCTGGGACAACATATAATATGTACAAACCAATTACAACAACTTCTAAGAGAACTGGAAGAAAAAAAAGAATGCCTTCCAGAACACCAACTAAAAGTATAACACAAGTGCAATGTACAAGTGCAATAAAAGGTACTTATTTTTAGCAAGACACCAATACAAATTGCCTTCCTTGCCACAACAATGAATCAGCGGGCTCTTTCCAGAGTACAGAGCATCACTACTGGCTATTAATACAGATTATATTTGTTCTATATGTACAAGAATCAGCAACCATATAAATTGTGGCGATTACTAAATGCTAAACTGAGGCATGCAGCCTAATACAAAACACACGCTTCTGTAAATGAATTATAATCGAGAAAGCATTTCAATTTGGATTATAACATTACCTATACAGGTGTAGTAAACAGCAGAAAACTTTTCTGTAATATTGCAGATACGGGGCAACACCATCCACCAATGAAAGGTACTCTACTGCCCATGGAACAGTCAGCACTGTACGATGGTCCTGTATGGACCGTCTGAGTAACTGCAGCACATCTAACATAGGAAGAGTCTGGGGAGAAATGAAAGGATTGGGAAATAGAACTTGATTATAATCATACAGAAGACGGCTCTGAGTATTTTAGAATTGAAAACAAGGACAAGGTTTGAGAATGAAAATTTGCAGCTCAACAAGGAGGATTGGTAAATGGATCCGATGCCGTTGTTTAAAATATGCATGTGGAAGGTTTTTGTTTTCCCCTCTTAAGGCATTATAATAAATGTACCTGGTTTCGTAGAGCAACTGCAGTCTCTTGTAGTTCCCCAGTAAGTGATTCTGTAGTTCTATATGGTAAAAATGTCAAGAATCCCAGGAACTTCGCCAAGAGCCGAACAGTCAGAAGAATTGAGGCAAATCGTATTTTTTCATCCTGAAACACATTATAAGGCATTAGAGTATTCTGTGCTCTGTGAACTCATTCTGTGACATATGATTGGGATTAAAATAAAGACTCCTTTGGCCTTACTCAACAAAAAGGTTGTATAGGGCTAGCCCATGAGTGAGTGAGGATGTGTGTGCTTTGAGCTCCTGCACCTGCTACATCCACATCAACTAGCCAGTGCCTCGTAGATCCTGTAGCTGCCTCGGTCGGACTAATCAGCGGTCGTCTTGGAGTCTCTGTACCCGCTCTACTAGCATCAGCCTGCTATCAATTTAATTTTTTCCTTTGACTGCCTGCTCCGCTCGCATTGGTCCGCTGACATACCAGCAGAATGAAGAAGAGCAGTAAAAAGAAAAAAACCCGGGAGATAATTCAACCCTCCCAGTTGGCGACTAGAACAAACATCGGAACATATTTCAACAAACAGGGAGCAGAGGAGTCAGCATGCACACCGCAAAAACAGCCCGAGGTCGGTGAGGATGG